AAAATTTTGGGAAATTCTCGAGTAGCTGCACAACTGGCGGCTTCTCAATAAGAGCTCAGCTCCATGGAGTTAGTTATATTGGAAGAATATATATTTATAATGGTGCCCGCGGATGTCTAAGGTATAATTCTTCCCCTCAGTCTATATTATTATTATTATTATTATTAATTTTATTATTATTATATTAAGCTCTCTTTCCAGAACTTATCGAATTTTTAGCATGCGAATTCAATTAAAACATAACGCGAAAGCTCCCTTTCAGAGCTTGCATCACTGAACCTTTAATCCGTGGAAACCGTAACTAGAGATGGAAATTGTCAAATTTTCCAATTAACTTTCCTGCGGGGATTTCACACGTGACAGTAGCGTCACTTCAAACAGAGGCGGGAACTTATAGAAGAGTCTTCAAAAGCCTGGACTTATCAAAAAATCAGTTCGTGATTTGCACAATAACAAAACAGGCGGACATATATGGACACCCCGTACATATTCATTCGTTCATGCATTCGGCCTTCCAGTCCTCGGTTTCTTATTTCGCGCAGGCTGTGTTAACTACAGAGCTTTCCAATAGTGAAGTACCCGGAAATGTGTATCCCTTGTTTGCCATAAATATCACATGACCTGATTGTTTGCTAGCCACATTGCCTACACCGGACCCCAATTTGTGTTTGCTGTTATCCGCCTTATCCGTCAGTCATAATGTATATGGCATATTTGTGCGCCGGAGTTGCATATTATGTCACATCCAGATTAAGTACTTCCCCTATTTTGGCTTTGGATTATGCGCACTACACCACACACAAATAATTTGATTTACTGCGCTGTGGACGTGCAGTTGACACGAACTAATTTGTGTGTCTATTGTTTGCATTTTAGACAGTATAACCTTTCAACTTTGCATTATAGTGGAAAATATTTGTGTACTGCAGTTGAATGGGGCCTGGGAATCATTATTTCAGACATTTTTAAATCATATATATATAAACAAAAATGGCATAGACAATGCGCATCCGGCCCTCTGTAGCACATCTTGTTCTATCGTAGCGCTCACCCCGCAATTTTTTAATATATCTCTTAAATTAACTCTAAGAATATATTATTAATATTTTGTACATATACTTCTTTTTCTTTTTTAATAAATTTAGGAATTTTGTTTATGAACTAACGGACGCCTTTTTTTTATTGCTAGTGGGGTGCGACCAAGTCCCTTGCACTGCGGCCACTTCTGGCCTGTTGCACCAGCTCCGGGTGATAGGTGAGGGTGATTGTGGAATGAAGATTGGCAGGCGAAACCGAAGTACTCGGAGAAAACTTGCCCCAGTGCCACTTTGTCTACCACAAATCCCACTTGACCAGACCCGGGATGGAACCCGGGCCGCCGCGATGGGAATCCAGCGGCTAACCGCTTGAGCTATGGCGCGGCCAACGGACGCCTTACACAAATCTTTTGTCCTCTGACCTTAAGAACTCTGTAAGTGACTTTCGGTATTCTTTTTTGCTGTTCTGAGACAAAATGTCGATAATTATTGCCCGTTGGGCCTCGTACAGTTTAAGAGTCCCAGAAAGTATCTTCCTCAGTTTGCAGCCCGTCACCACATTCGCATTCCGCTGTGGACACAATGTTAAATATGCTTAAGCCTGCTTACCAGATCTGTGTTGTGCTGCCATCTATCGAAACAGTTGTACTGCGTGATAACGTGCCCTCTTGTCACTTACAGTCTGTCATGATAAAAGTTGTCTTTCGTTTCTTTGATGATTCTTATCACTGACTTCATTGAACAGAGACCTTCTAGAGAATATGATAGTCGCTCAGCTAGTCAAGAAATTGGCTTCATTTTATAGGCTTTTATAGGCATTATCATATTCACAACAGACATGGATTGGTTTCTGTTCAGAGCCTAGTGAATCCAGTTCATATTTTCACATTGTTGCTTTAAGATCCATTTTAATGTTATCCCATACGTAGGCCTCTCACTCCCTCTGTTCAGTCACCAAAATTTTTCCCATGTGTAGTATAGATCTCGACCAATGCATCCTCCGTGATTTCATCACCGTACTAATGATTCATAAAGGGTAAAAATTCCGAAGCTCCTGATTATGCACATTTCTCGATTCTCCTGTTTCCTCTGCGTAGTCCAAATGTTCTCACTGTATCATTACATTCTTAGCACAAATAACATTAAGTGAAAGCGTAGCATAGAATTCCTTTCTGTGCCCATATATTTGCTATTGCTAGATCTACGTATATATCAATATTTTGCCAGAACAGTATAACGTTCTTATGTCACGTTCAGTCATTCTATTTATATAAGATTGACTGTTTTATTTGTCTCATACGCGGTTTATCGCTGAGAATAACACTACTACAAATTTGTTTAACTTAGAAACTCCCACAGTTGCTAGTTTAATACGAGCTGCGCTATCATCACGTAAAAAAAATTCGTAGCCTGTAGCCCGCAAGCGAACTATATCGACCGAGCGACCGCCGCTTGTCGACGAAGTAAATGCCAGCTTTTGCGGATAGAGGGTGTCACGTGGTTAGCGTAACGGATCCCCACGGTCGTTAATTTCGGTTTTCTAGACCGGAGCCGCTATTTTCTTGAAATAGCTCCTCAACTATATTCACATGGCTGAGTGGACCCCGTTCCAGACCCACTACTTCTCAGAAAAGCTGGTAGCGCCAGGAATCGAACCCGGGACCTGTGGATCTGTATGCAGGAACTCTGACCCCTAGACCACAGAGGCAGAAAAGTGACTACACCCACGACATTGGCGGAAATTTCTGAAACTTTATAATCAAAGCCAATAACGTCTAAAAATAATGCACACCAAATTGCAGCTGGTTTTCCATTATTTCCGGCGAGGAAAATGGACGTTTGTTTGATGACCTTCAGATTTCCGTATTCGCCATCGTCAGTGTTTTAGGCACCATGCCTGTGGCAGTCACGCGTTTCGAAAGTGCCAATTAATATTTTAACAGTGGACTCTGCAGATTGTACTTGCATTATCAGATTTATTTCCGTACAACATGGGCCTGAAATTACATCATTCCTCCTGTAACATTTAATTGCATTTGTCTCCAAGGGCTGCGTGTTTTCTGCGCCACATATATTCATATTAAACCCACGATGTTTATTTTTTTTATCCGATTTTACAGTCACAGTTAAGTTACATTTCTTCACTCATGCAATTACCAGTGAAAAATTATCGCAATTTTATATAAAAAGTAGGATAAATTGCCCGTAATTTACAGTTGACAGCGGCCGGTCCAATTGCTGACTTCATTAATTCAAAATTTTCTGGATAACTGTATAATTTAATGAGAGTGCCACATGAAATCCAATTAAGTCGCAGTACTAACGAGCACTTAGCCTTCCACGTGTTTTGCCTGCATCCACCCCTGTCTCCGGTACTCCATACGCTTCCAGCAACTGAATGAGTATGTGTTTAAAGTCAGTTTCAGGTCGCGTGAAGGATTCGTGAAAGTGGATGCAGACTTTCAGCAAAATGGAACTAAGACTGAGAATTGTTTCAAAGCAAGGTAGAAAGAAAAACGTTTGTGTCCCCAAGGTGAAGTCAGTTGTTGAAAACATAGTAATTCGCGTAAAATTTGAGATTTTGAAAGTGGTAAAGCTGAAGATTTCCTTCCCATGAGAAGGATGTCATGCGCTTCGGTAGATAGGTATCATCGTTTTTAAAGAATTCCTTATCTTCACAAGAAGTGAGCACTTTTTCACACTGAAGATGGAGGCAAGTGTCTTTCGAAACATTTGCCACGTCCAAGAAAACGGTAAAGAGTTAAAAAGCAAAGTCCCTGTGCTTGATTAGTTAAGCACTACGCCATGAAATTTGTGTGGGGGAGTGAATGTATAAAATGCACGTTTTCTTGAACTCGGCATTAGTTGAGGGTGAGTGGTTAGCTTCACACCCTGGCCGTTTCACCCCCGAGGAATGAACCCCCGGTGGGCCCCAGAACCGTTCTGGACGTCATGGAGAAGAGAAAATTCTTGACTGCCGGGTCTGGAACTCCGACCCCCCGGTCGTCCATCCCACAGCCAGTCGCTATACTGACTGCGCTGTCTCCAAGAATGCGGTAATCTTTCTAAATTATAAGCATTTTTCAAGTAGCTCAGAAGCTGAATATATTGGCCTTGGTTACTCTCCAACCGAAGGCGTAGGAGAAGAAGATAAAGGGCATAACGGAGGAAGTTGGGGAGAGAAGGAAATGAGGAGAGGGCTGAGCATAAGAAGTTGCAAAAAGTAGAGATACAGGAAAAAGTTAATTAAGAGCTTGAAATGTAGGTGCTGGAAAATGTGTGTTTTCCATGCGGTCGTCTACGTTATGATACCATGTCAGCTGTTAACAACCTACCAGTCTGCATGGCGTCATAACTCTGAAGACTTTTGGCTTTCTGATAACGCTGTTCTAAAAAGATGCGTAAAACAGACATATTGCATGTAAGACGGGGCAAATCAATCCCTGTAACAGGCCGTGGAGGCCCAGAGGATTGAGAGACGTCGAGGCTCCCACATTTTCTTGACAGTCGGCTCACAGCCGGCGGTGAGGTTGTCAGCCTTTCGCGCCGGCGGGCCTCCCTTCACCCCCAGGAAGATTCCTGGTACTCATTTCTATTAGAGTCTGAGTCAAACCCAGGGTCATAATGCAGCTAGGATTTGGTCAATTGAAAAATCCAGTAATCTCATCGGGAATCGAAATCGCGACTTTCGGGCTTGTAGCATAGTGCCTCAACCAAATACGCTACCGCATCCCCCCCCCCCCAGATTACATGTTCCAACCCTTTGCAGCACAGCGACGCTAGCGGCAGGTAACACGTGGCTTTGCTCAACATACTTTCCCATTCTTTATGTAACAATCACCCTGCCTTTCTATGTCATATAATCTGAACTACCGACAGCGTCGTCAAACCGTAAACAAACAAATCTGCAACTTCCGGCCCACAGAACGCACCATCTCACCCACTTGACAGAGTTATGACACATTTTATCCCCGAGTCATTGTATTGCGAGGTTTTATACAAGCAGTTTTCACAGTTACACAAAAATAATTATGTACATAAAGTTACAAAGCAGAAAGTGGCATTCATGGCTGCAGCTGTACTGCAATCGCGTGATGTCCCATTTCCCACAGGACAACCGCCAGTCGTCCCGCTGTCGCCGTGGTCAGCTTGGACCAGACCCTCAGCATGTTTTCAGACATCTGGAACAGAAACATTACAGAATCTCTCTCAGTTTGTGTGATATTAACGAGATATCTAGCTCAGATACGCCGGCTACTTCATATCTTTTGTTTAACCCTTCGAAACTTAATGGTTACTGCATGTAAGTGTGAGATTTTGGGATATCACAGCGGTGTCCATGAAGATTTCTGTCTTCCGAGATGTGATGCCTTGTGCTGTGATATATCTTCATCTTCAGGGCAGTAGAATGCTGTTCTGAAGATGAATGAAGCAAGGTTCTCAGAAATCTTGGTGGGTGGAAAAGAATGACGTCATAACCCAGAAGACAGCCTGTCTGTATTTATGTGTTAGGTGCAACCATCAGACAGAACAACAATTATATCTCTGAACAGCACTGAGTGATTGGCCAATGTGGTGGACAGAGTGAAGTAGAGAAACTGAAATTTTAAACATACGAAGTTAACTGAACTTCAGACTTCAAATGATTAATATTGTACCGAAAATAAATTGCCCTGTCTTGTGTCTCTTGCTGTAATTTTCGTCAAAGAAAATTACAAAGTGGTTTGGAAACACAGAAACAAGTGAAAACATTTATTTTCCGGATTCATCTCGTGATATAGTGACAGGTGTGCTCAATCCTTAATGGGGTCCTCTTTAGTCTTTCTGAGTCTCTCTTGAAATAGGCCACCACCACCTCTTTACAAATCCTTATCTGCTCAAGTTTCATGGTTATATTTCCATGTAATTCGGTATTACGTATAACTTTTGCTGTCTGAGTAATAGGTTTAAATAACAAAATCAATAGACCTTGATGGTAGATGTTGGTGAACTGACGAGCAAGCGTTCCGGCCGCCTTACTCCCCAACATTTGTGAGTACACTTTTAGCGAATTACATGTTGTAGCACCGTTACAAAGGATCGAACTACAATCATTCGGTATCATAACCTAACTTTTTACTGAGTCTCTGTGAACATGGCAATTAACCATGGGGTTGGGCCGAGCCATAGCTCAAGCGGTTAGTCGCTGGCTTCCCATCGCGGAGGCCCGGGTTCGATCCAGGGTCTGGTCAAGTGGGATTTGTGGTGGACAAAGTGACGCTGGGGCAGGTTTTCTCCGAGTATTTCGGTTTCCCCTGCCAATCTTCATTCCACCAATTGCTCCACAATCACCCTCACCTATCATCTGGGGCTGGTACAGTAGGCCAGAAGTGGCCGCAGTACAAGGGGCTTAGTCCCACCCCACTAGCAATAAAACAAAACCATGGGGTTCCTAACATCAGCATATTTCTTGAACAGCTAAACAACTGTCACCATATCAAGACAGTTCGGGACCTTAAAATTGTATTGGTTGTGATAAGGGACTCGGAATAGATCAAAACATTTCCAATAACCATCATCTTGCTGAAGCCACGCTCACCTTTCCATGAATGTTGTTCGTAATGGTCATGCAAGTTGATCTGGCAATAGCGTCCAGGGTCTCTGGTTTGAAGTTGAGTCTGAGCCCAAGGACACGCCATGACTCTCCTAGTTGACTAGCTACAACACAGATGTCTCTCTCTGTCAGTCGTCTCTTGCTGTCCATAATATCAGCGTCATCTCCAGAGCTCTCTGTCCCGGCGTGCGTGCAGTTTCCTTCCCTCGTCACGTCTGTAGACAAAAACGCAAAACCCATTTACATAATTATTTCCTTTGAAAAAAATATATCTGAAAGAGTAGATCGCACAAAGCACATCCATTTCCACCTGAAAGAGAGGAACTCAGCGTCCTGCCCGCAAACGAGTCACAGTGTAAGCTGTTTATACTAAGAAATGAACAGAGATTGAGGGAGGCTGATAACGGAGATCTGGTGGAAATATACGGAAACAGGAGAATGGAGTAGCGCGACACACCATGGAACTGCATGATGGAGGGTTCATAATCCGTACCCTTCACCAAACATTGTTGGCATGACAAAATTAAGGATGAGATGGACACGTCTTGTAGCACGCATGAGAAATTAATGAAAAATTATGGTGTTAACACCTAAGGGAGGCAGAATCTTTGGATATCTAGACATGAAAGATAAAGCTTCATGTTACACTAGATATCAATTGAACCCACAGGTTGTTATGAAACATTTACTTTGTACCCTGATGAGGTGGATTTTTTCAGTTTACCTAATCCTTCCAGCCGCACTATGACCCTGGGGTCTACTCAGCCTCTAACAGAAATGAGTACCAGGAATCTTCCTGGGGGTAAACAGCGGCCGGCGCATAAGGCTGACAACCTCACCGCCATCTTTGAACCGACTGTCTAGAAAATGTGGGAACCTCAACATCTCACAACCCTATGGGCCTTCACTGCCTGTTACAGGGATAGCTTTACTTTTAGCAGCCGCGCCATAGCTCAAGCAGTTAGTCGCTGACTTCCCACCGCGGCGGCCCGGGTTCGATCCCGGGTCTGGTCAAGTGGGGTTTGTGGTGGACAAAGTGGCGCTGTGGCAAGTTTTCTCCGAGTACTGCGGTTTCCCCTGCCAATCTTCATTCCACCAATTGCTCCACAATCACCCTCACCTATCATCTGGGGCTGGTACAATAGGCCAGAAGTGGCCGCAGTACAAGGGACTTAGTCCCACCCCACTAGCATTAAAAATAATTGCTTTCAGCAGACGTTAACAGTGTTCTTGTCTGAAAAGATAAGGATCGGACTATGGCCATACGATAATGAGCCTTAGGGATACAAAACTTCAGGAAATTTCCTCACCAACTGCTAACTGCCTAGAGGAAGTGCAGGACTGTAGGAGTCATTACCTGTAGTACGCTGTGCAGTCCTTGTGATGCGTCCCGAAACACAGCGTCTGTCGTTTCTGGAAGCGTGATCTTCATTTGTTTCTCGCGCCCAGTGATCCATCCTGCTGATTGTCTCCGAGTAGATTATTGTCCTTCCTGGAGAAGCCATGTTAGAACAGCTGTATAGTTTGCTGACACTGTACAGAGGACCCTAAATACTGTTTCTTACTGGCGGGGACGCGAGTGACTAATGTAACAGAGTACAGAGCGTCTTGCGGTGCAAAGCAGGTAGGCGGGCGGAGACAAGCAATTAACGGCTCTAAATATTGTAACAAATAGCTGGTACCTTCTAATATTAAGGTGCAGCGTTGCCAAAATTCATACCATAGATAAGAACTGAAAGTTTCTGTGGATGGGGTGTAAATAAAGTTACTATGTTTTTGGACATTATCGAACGTCCTGTTATTATTTATTTATTTATTTAAAACAAAACATTTCGGTGACTGGATTCTGTTTCCGTCTTCAAGTAAAAACCTACCCCGTTGGACCCAATCGATAGAGTAGTCCATATTTCAGGAGATAGGGAGATCGATTGAACCCAATTGAATAGGTTTTTACCTAAAGACGGAGACAGAATCCAGTCTCGGAAATGTTGTGTTTTAAATAAATAAAAACCTGACGATGGATGTCTAGAGACACAATAATCATTGTAGAATTTGAGGTTCTCACAGCGGTGGTTCTGATTAGTTCTGTCTTCTGGGATATAACGCCGTGTAGTCCGTTGAAAATCAGCTGGCGTTTCGGAGGAACATTTCGGCTCAATCTTCAAGGACGAATAATCAGCCAGACAAGAATCTATCGTGAAAGCGAGTGGCACCAGTAACAGCAAGCCAGTTGTCTCAACCGGTAACCCTTGTTGCTTGTATTCAAGAGCATCAAGCCATAAAGAATTCGGCACTGGGGAAGGAGATGAATGGCTTCAGGCGTTCTTGACCTGCGAAAAGGATGGAGGTGAGTGGCCAACCTCAAGACCTCGCAGCTTTCCCCTTGGGAAATACCCAACTGTGCCCATGGATACGAGCGCGCATGACCCCTAGAGCCGCTCTAAACTCTGAAGAGAAATAACGATAACTTTATCATACCGGAAGTCGAACCCCGACTCCTTAACCATCCACCCTAAGGCCTGCTCACAAACTGACTCAGCACATGTAATAATTCAGAGATATGCAATTTGAATGTCAATTTGGATCTAAAAGTATGAAATTCTTCCCGTTTTTAATTAATTAATGACCACCCCATAGAAACATGCGGGCGGTGGAAATATGGCTGCTCCGTTCCTCACCTCGAAACCAAGTAGAGATGAGCGGTGAGCTTCAAGCCCCGGCCGCTATATTCCCAGAGAAAGAACCCCCGGCGCCCAGTGGACAGGAGGCTCGATGAGCCCCCAGGCCCAGTCTAAATGCTGTAGATAAGAGAAAAATATCTTTCTACCACCGGAAATCGAACCCCGGCCGTCCAGCCCGCAACTCGTCGCTCTACTGACTGAGCTATCCTTCCTGTCGTACATGAAACCCATCTTCCCATTTTAAGCCAGCTTTCCTATAGTAGGCTCTTGCATTCTCCATGCTACCTGTGTGTCTGTGAATCCCCGCCCCCCCCCATTAACTTGTGAATGCCTGAAAAACAAAACAAACTCCGTGGCCTGTAGTTCGTTATAAACAGCTGTTATTTCCCTAAACATCCTTAACCGGTTGGGCTTTGTAGCGAAGATGTAATGTGTTTCCTGTGAGGTACGGACTGAATTCTTACATGTTATTAGAAGTTCGGCCTTTGAAGTGTCAACCAGCAGAGACACGATTGGACACGTGCTACATGTGTGTCGCTCTAATAACGCGCCGTCATCCGAAACTCTTATCTTACCGATAGCCGTATTTTGGAGATACGCCAGTTTTGCACCGAAGTCTTCAGTTCTCGGAATCGATTGTGATAATTAATTTAGCGATTGTTTCCTTACGCAAATGCTTCTCTTTCCTGTGCCCCGTGTTTATCTCCAGTCAATTAGGAACAGGTTTGTTATCACCATTGTTCAATACGCAGGGAGTGTCCACCCATGCTGTGCCTGGGGATCGAACCCTCATGTTTTCACGATTGGAGCTTCGTATTGGCTTCATCTTTCGGTAAGGTTTTACAGTGTTTCGACTAATGTAGCTCCCATCTTCACGGCTAATGATTTTAGTGGGTTGTCATTAAGCAATGTGTCGGAGGTGTAGCTGTGAATGGATGTTCAGAAGTGTGGGATAGGAACAAAAAAAAACCTGTACTGGGGGAGGGATGTCTGTGTAATCTGACAGTGATCCGCAGCCACCAAAGTACACGGCGTCGCATCCAGATTGCTGTAATATTCACGGTAGCGAGAACCTCGGATCCCAAGAATAAATTACTGTGGGTTTGGCGCAGGAGAATATGTCTTATCGCAATCATAGGATTAGCTGGAAAGCCTGCAACAAGCCATGGAGGTCCATAGGGTTGTGAGACTTCGAGGTTCCCACATTTTCTCTAGACAATAGGCTCACAGGTGGCGGTGACGTCAGCCTTACGCGCCGGTCGGCCTCACCCCCAGAAAGATTCTTGGTACTCATTTCTGTTAGAGGCTGAGTCGACCCCAGGGGCACAGTGCGCCTAGAAAGATTAGGTCAATTGAAAAAAAATCCAATTATATCGTGAATCGAACCCGCGACCTTCCAGTGCAAGATAATTATTTTAACAGAGAACAAAACTGTCCATATCTATTGAGTCCGAAAAGCGAGTCTGTGTGGATAAGGGAAGAAGATAAAAAAGCACAAGAATGAAAGGTATAAGCCGAAAGGCCGACAATAATGGGGGGATAAGGAAGAGAGAAAAGCAAGATGTAAAAGAATGGCAATAACTGGGAGGACGGGATAAGAAATGCTTTAGTAAATGCAGAGTACGAGCTTCTGGATTGCAACGCCGTGTTGTTTGGTAGTTCCTCCGAACCGAGGACACCGCATTCTTCATAGCCACTGTCGTGACAATTTCAGATCCAATGAATGTGCACATGGCGTAACAATTGTAGCGTGTTTGCCGTATTGTTGCCTATAGATTGTTGTCAACTCTTGAATATCAAAGTGTGATGCCGGGGTGGGGTCGTCTAGCGTCGAGGCACAAGAATGGACCGGCATAAGGTGTTCTCTTGTTAGCTTAATTATCTCAAGATCTGTATGCTCAACGGAAACAAAGTGTATTGGATGTACAGTCCATGTTTCAGTTTTCTTACAACTTTTGTTCGAAATACTTTTCTTTCCCATAAACATATAGACCCCCTCGTTGGTGTCTCCACCTTATCGTGGTGAGGGGGTTTGAATATGCCAACGACCCTGAGAACTATACCAGCGGTAGCGTAGCTACTGGCAGGGCCTCCCTTGCTGGACAGATCAATGGGTAGGCATCAGACGAAGAAAGACACCAAAAACCAAAAACTGATGCCGGAAGCAGCGTCATCAGCAGCGACTTGAAGCACAGAGCAAATGATGCTAGAGATGGTTCAAGTTCGTATAGCAACAGGCGTGACCAGAGTGGTTTGAACGGCTGTTGTACTGCGATGTGGAAAGCAAATGGAAAAACTACCACATTATCACTTTTCCTGGATAGTCTCTTTCCAAAAACAGAGATACCATGTATGCGAGATCCAGAAGACGTAAGAAGATGCTGGATGACCTTGGAGACAGAAGAGGATATTCTCATTTGAAGGAGAAAGCTCTAGATCGCATTAAGTGGAGGAACTGTTTTGGAAGAGACTGTGGACCTGTCGTCTGACAGATTACTGATTAATGAATGAAACATGTAGCGACGTTTGGAATGCGTGCAGAAATCCACGTACATCTTCATGTAAAGTATCCATTACTTCTGTCCGATTTTAATGAAAATTTCGAATATTTAAGCAAATATCAAAACTTCTCAATAATAAATTTAATGAAAATCGGTTCCGCGATTCTGAAANTCGCTTGCAGATTTCTTATATTTTTTCTTCTACCCTGAAGATGGAGGCGATACGTTCCACCGAAACGTCAGTTAACACCACATATACACGGTGCCAAATCCCAGAAGACTGCTTTCTTCATAGTCACCGCCGTGAAAACCTCAAATCTTACAAGAATAACCTAACTTACCCTCCATTGTGGCTGGTTTTGAAATCCAGTCCTGTGCGCGCGCAGCACACTTTTCCCTCCTGCCTAGTTAAAATCCCAACTGCGAAGAGGCTATGTTGCCTGAGGTAACACAACTACACGTATAACATAATCCACTGTTTCCCATTCGTCGTTCATAAACACTGTCATGTCTGTCATCCTACGAAATTAACTACTGTAGTTGGATCATTGTCGTTAAATAGTTATATAAACGTAATCCATCCTTTACAAGTCTTCATTCATAACGACATTCATCCGACGATAGTGGCCAGTAAACTTGATTTACTCTCGTTAAATAATTTTATAAATTTATAACACACACACGGCTCCTTCTCTTCTCGCTTGACTCCGCAGTGAGACAGTCTGTCAGTTGCCAACAGAACACTGTCGGAAAGTTCCATGACGTGTATCTACCATTGCATCTTCCCAACTATCTTATCTCTGTATCATTTCGCTCACAGTTATCTGCAAACAGCTCCGAGCAGTGAAGAAAGCACGTGACTGACTCTTGATATCATAATCACAACAAGTTCCCTTAATACGCCCTTTAATATTGTTACGTGTAGGGGGATCATGCGTGACTTATGGACGGGGTTTCGATTCGATTTATTGATACCTTATTCACACAACTCGGGACTACAGGCAATCGCTTCTTTTCGAATCTTTTCACTGTCATATTTTTTTATGTATTTCTTATTCATATGTACTTTATAAAAGAGGGGCACAGTAGACTTCCGAGTCGTAATATCAGGGGGCGGTGTTTCTCAGCCCATGAGAGAAGCCCCACTGGCGGGCGCTACATGAGGTCTCGAAAACATTAATTTGGTCTTCCAGAATTAAGTTACAAAAACTTTTCCTGTAACATGTTTTGAAATAACCTGAGAAAGGTTACTCAAGTTTACTGCTAACGGAGCTTTATTGTTTTATTTAATTACCGTTGCTCCTCGTTTAGAAACATGCAATTCCATTTGAATGCGATCAAGTGATTTAGACAAATTTCAATTAACAGCGCTCGCTCTAATGCGAAGTGGGAGGCGGTGAGAGGGGGAGTGGATTATTGTATCGGTTTGAAGGGTAGAAATGGGGGGAGGGAGAGGAAAATTGTGCGCGAATTATGCGATTTCTCTTCGGAACGCGGTTATTGCATAAATTGGGGAATATATATGTAGTAAAAGACATATTAACAAAAATTGTTGAAATATTCAAGTTCCTAAGAATTTCTATTAACAATTATTGTAATAACCAAAATTTTCGCAATATAGTGTATTTTTTTTCTATTTATGCAGCTTCATGTTTCGTATCTGAATTTTGGAATCAGTTTGACATGTTTTGTTTATTTTTCTTTCCATGGTTTGGTAGAACTGTTTGTATAATATTCTTTTCAAAGCAGTGATTAGAACTGCGAGGGTTTAGGTTCCCGCAGCGGTGACCAACAGGGTATCATATTCTGCTTGCTTATCTTACTTTTCGACCTTGTGGATGGCAGCAGTACGTTACTCCGAATCATCTGTAAACCTGCACTAGACTGCACGCATAACAGCCAGAAGATAGCGTTTTTCTTGGATTAGATATATACACCGTGGAACGACCTTCTTTTATAATGACGGTAGGATTTTGTTAACATCTGGACGGCCTAGGAATCGGGGTTCGACTCCCAGCTGCTCAGACCGGCCCTGGGGTAAACCAGTTTCCTAGCACCGCGAGATTTTCCCCGAGGATTCTGTGTCCGGAGCGTGAAGCTAATAAGTGATTTGTTAGCCGAGTTCGAGAACACGTTACGTACATGTCTACCTCCACTCCGCCATACGTTTTGATGACGTAGTTCTTAGTTGATTAAGCACGAAGTTATTTTAACTTGTTCACTTCACTTGCTCATAGTAGAACTTGTATCATTAAATTTGGTTTTGAGGTTAAGTTGGAACAGTTTCAACACACCAAACACCGCACACGAAGTTGCTTGGTTTCTTGGTAGTCCGAGAGGGCTCTGTCAACTGCAAAATGTGCATTTACATCAAAATCAGCTCGCGGTGTGACGCGGTGAAGGCATACAAATGTACTGGTACTTTACCTCCTGTGTATTTACAGGCGTGACCAAAATGGTATGTTGTAATTATTACTGCCGGTTCTTCTGCCGCACAGAATGTGTCTCCACAAGTGCTGCATTTACACAAGCAGAAATGGCCGGGTAACAAAGGCGCTACCGCCCATAAACACAGCAAAACTTTAATGGTTGAATGTGTAAACCTGTCCTAGTTCCGCCGCGTGGTATGTCTTCACTGCAAATCTGAACCTCAGAAGATGACATCGGTACATTTCACAAGCACTGAAGGTGTATAGGGGTTGTTCAGGCAAACTTACAGGCATGAGGACGTGACGAGGGCTGCGTCTCCGAAACGGCCGGCCTACTGCTCCCTCCACTGGTATCTGGTACGAGTACTGAACGTTTGGTCTCCTTCATGCCGTGTAGAGGTTCATGTGCCTGCACTGTCTTGCCATTTACTCTTTGCTTATTTAACGATGGTTTCAGTAGCAAAAGCCGTATTTATTTTATTGAATTGGAAGCCACTGAAAATAAATAATACACTAGTATGCGTATAACAGATGTATATAACAATATAAGCAGAAGTATATTGAGTCTTGCCTCGGATTTACTGCACAGTGCTTTTCCGAAAACTAATAGTAAGTCGGAAAATCATAAAAAAATAATACAGCTATCCCTGTAACAGGCCGTGAAGGCCCATAGGGTTATGAGACGTTGAGGGTCCCACATTAACTAGACAATCGGCTCAAAGATGGCGGTAAGATTGTCAGCCTTACGCGCCGGCCGCGCTTTACTCCCCGGGAAAATTAATTAATTCCTGGTACTCATTTCTGTTAGAGGCTAAGTCGACCCCAGGGCCATAGTGCGGCTGGAAGGATTAGGTCAATTGAAAAAGAAATCCAATGACCTCATCGGGACTTGAACCCGCGACCTTCCGGTTTGTAGCATAGTGTCTCAACCAACAATGTCGAATTTATTTATAAAATGCGGCATATAGGATAACCTTATTGGAGCTAAAGGCTCAGACCAATTTTCCAGTATTTAACCTCTCTTGCACTGTAACTGTATTGATTTATTATAATATCAATAATGGGACATTAATTAACGTGGTATTAATCATTCTGTTAGAAATATTTGGAGTAATTAAGTTAATTAATATTTCACCACAGAACGTTGAGAGTTACGATTCGAGTTCCCATAACATTTACAACGTGAGTTTCAAATGTTAAATCCCAAAATTCCAAGTGTAATTCTGCTAATGCAATGGGATCCTCACTCCCGAAATTTGTATGTCAGGAAGTCAAGGTCAGAGTGTATGTGGCTGCACTGTAGTTCTTCCGTGTCCTGCAGAAATAAGTAAATACATTCTTTAAATCGACATATCTTCTGGATATGTATATCGTGTTGAAAATTCCGATTTGTGAATTATTAACTGCAAGATCTGTGGACAGAATCAGTCGTAGCCTGATTTGAAAGTACTAAGCCATCATTTTCCGATTCATTATACATTACCCTGTAATTATTCGACAATATATAAAATGAGTTACTGACAGCATTGTTAAGTACATTATAAATTCACGTACATCAGTTTGGACATATGTCTAGAAATAATTCTTACGATTTGAGGCGCTCTTGGAAGTATAGAGTCATCACTTCGAGACTCTTCTATAAACTAAAGTAAGTTGACTACAGCGGAAGAGCGGCCCATGAATTGTCGGTAACCGTGGCGGGTCTATGCGAGAAGAGTGCCGTGTTAGCTGCGGGAATCCGTGTAGCGATAAAATTGACACACTGTACGAACTGCGCACTCTAAATATGGCCCTGCTGTGAATATTTTTCTTGAATACCTCCAAAAGCACCGAGCTGATTGACGTAGCGGTAACACTATAGACTTGCGTTTGAGAGGCCCATGCTTCGAGTATCGGCCGGGATACCGCCTGTCCTCACTAAGGCTTTCGTAGTCCTCCTCGGTCCCACCAGAAAAATGCCAATATACTATCTCGATTAGGTCACTGAAGCTTGCTTTCAAATTGTATTCAGTTCATTATTACTCAATAATCCTACATTTCGAAATTCTGACAGCGGCACAAAGTAACCTAAGAAGCCAAACTTTCCCTGACTGCTGAACTAACAAACTGGAGCCAACTTAAGGTAACATATATTGAGATTTAGTCATCTTATTCAAAGTACAATAGAAACATCGAAATCGTCTTAGAAAATCTACTCCAGCCTTCCTTATTATCCATAAGATCTCGTTAAATTTGTTCAATAATCCGTCATATATCCTCGTAGACAAGTGCCTCATTGTAGAGTCTCCTCTACAGACTACAAGAACCTATAAAACACGAGTACATTCAATGGGAACACTTCTGATAATAACTGACGTCCTCTTCTGCTTTGTCTGTTGCCTGTCGGAACAGCACGCAAAGAGGGAAGAATACACCTTCAGCAAATTGTGCCGATTCTAACAAGTTACAGTCGGCTGCAACGCACGTAAACCCACATCCACGGTTGCTGCTTGTTCGTTTTAACATCTATCATTGTATTAAAGAAGTAAAAGTAAAGTAGTCCCTGTGCTTAACTTATTAAGCACCATGCCATAAAGGCGTATGGAGGATTGGATGTATAGATCCACATTTGCTTGATCTCAGCACTAGTTGGAAGTGAATGGTCAGCTTGACCCCCCTGCCGCTTTATCCCCGGGGAAGGAGCCCTCGGTAGTCATTGGCTACGAGGCTGGGTGGACCCCAGAGCCGGTCTGGATAACCCTCGGTCGTCCAGCCCGTAGCCAGTCACTATACCCGCTTAGTTTCTTATATTTTCTTCCCTTAATGTAGCCATTGCTGTCTCCACGTAATACTTAAAGCATAGGTAAACCTGCACAAGTTTTCTATAACGTTCTTCACGCTTCGGTCCCTTTTGGTGGACCCTAGCTCATTTCTGGATTAATCTCTGAAGTTAGTGTTAAAGGTAAAGTTTTCCTTGTACCTAATTGAACATGTCATGATGATGTGTGGGTTGAGGTAAGCCTCCACGCGTTCTCAACCTCAGCACTAGATGGACGTTAGTTACCAGCTTTACCCCCCGGCTGTCCCCCCCCCCCCCGAGAAATTTGCCCCCTATATCCACTTGATATGAAGCTGAATGTGCCCCGGTGTTGTTCTGGACGTCGTGGAGAAAAGGAAGTCTCTTTCCTCTGCCAGGATTCGAACCCCGGAGCCCGTAGTTAAAACCGACTGAACTAGGAATATTACCAAAGTCTCCACCAGAGCTGACATATTGGTCGTCTTGTTAGAAGACAGTCACTTTGCTGAGTTATCGCGTTCCTCCGTCACTGACACTCAATAAAGTTCTTATCCCTCAGAACAGATGGATGTATATTGTAGTGAGTAATTTCAACACTACGTAATAATTTGCTTACTTGTCGTAGTGAAACATCATCAGAAATCGTTACAAAGTCTCTGGATTCTGTTTGCATTATACGTCTGGAATCAAAGTTTGCGCGCCTGAGATACAGGAAGGTTGCCTGCTCAGTGCAGGACGTACCCTCAGAGATGTTAAAGACATGGCAGTCGAACGGAGATAAACCTGCTTCGTCTTCCGGATGCTTCCGTCTTGCGACGTTCGCTTTTCTCACGGCTGTGACTGTAGTGGTTGGTGTCTTCTGGAATGTGGCGCCTAAAACTAGTCTGAAATGTTATATCCATTGGGGTGCGAGTGGAGTTCTATTGATGAGAATGCGCTGCAATGGAAAGTTCAGTCACCGTGTATCTTTTCTCTGTTGGAACGAATGTATAATCTTATCCTTAAGCATTCATAGGCTACGCTATATATTGTCTGCGATAACGTCAAGCTAAGTAACAATGAATCTTCATTCACAGAGTACAAGAATTATGATAACCCTGACGTAAAAACCCGAAGTAGTTACAAGTGTCTGCATCCCTCACTCTAAAAGAGACTTTTTGTTCACTGTACATTCGTAGCTATTGAATGCGTATTTAAATAAGCCAAGAATGCATAAGAATGAAATCCACGCACATGAACCTTGGCGCTAGATGCAAGCGAACACAACTTTTCGTATGGGGTCCGCAACTTCAAGCATGAGCGAAATGAAGAGGAGGCATGCAGTTTCCGAGACGCATCCCCCATTACGTCCTCATGCCTGTAAGTTTACCTCCATAACCCCTATACGCCTTCAATGTATGGGAAATGTCACGATTTCGTCATCTTCTGAGGTTCAGATTTGCAGTGAAGGCTAAAACTTTGGCATAGAGGCTAAACTAAGATAGGGTTATACTATTCAGTCATTAAAGTTTTGCTATGTTTATGGGCTGTAGCACCTTTGTTACCTGGCTATTTCTGCTTGTGTAAATGCAATACTTAAGCAGGAATGTTGTGGAGGCCCATTCTGTGCGGCAGAAGAACCGGCAGTAATAATCCCCTTATCTCTTGTTTGATCACGCATACAAATACGCGGCTGGTAAAGTACCATTGCTTTTGTATGTCTTCACCGCGTCTAAATGAACATTTTGCACTTGACAGATCCCTCTCGGACCACCGAGAAACCTAACAACTTTGTATGCGGTGTCTGGTATGTTGAAACTCGTCCAACATAACCTTAGAAGCCAAATTTAATGATACAGGTACTCGGCGCAGGCGGTATAGCGACTGGTTACGGGTTGGATGACCGAGGAGTCGGAGTTGAGTCCCGGTAGGGTCAGGAATTTCTCTTCTCCACGTCGTCCAGACCTGTTCATGGGCCCACCCAGCCTCCTATCCATTGGGTACCGGGGGCTCATTCCCCAGAGGCAAAGCGGCAGGGCCGTGAACCTGACCACTGACCTCCAACTAGTGCCGAGGTCAAGAATACGACGATCTATACACCCAGTCCCCTATACTACCAGTTAGGTAACCACAGGGACAACTTCTCTTGCTTTACTACTAAGACTAAGTGAAATAAAAAAGTTGAGATAACTTTGTGCTTAATTAGTTACTACATCATGAAGACGTATGGAGTAGTGGAGGAATAGCTGCACATATTCATAATCTCGGCATTAGGTAAAGATGAATGACCAGCTTCACGCCCTTGCCGATTTGACCCTCAGAAGGTGCCCATTGAATGGGCTGGCTGGATCCCAGATTAAGGTTGCCGACCGCTGCGGGAAATAAAACTCTGAGCCTTCGGCCGTCCAGAAGTTAAGAGAACCCTACTGTCAGTACCGAAGGAGGTTCTATCATCAGTCATCTCACCATTCGACGTAACAGAATCTAGTTAGTGACAGCGTTGAAAAGAAAGTCAGGACAATTTTCGTAATTTCAGAATTTAAAACTGAGTGTACTGGACTAAATGCTGAGGTCAGTTATTTTGCTTTGATATTCGTGATTCCATCCAAAGTCATTTGGTCAGTAGCAGATTAAAATATCATTCCAGGAATCTCTTGCAAGATGCTTTCAAGGTTAGTTCCTGCAACCTCCGTCATTATTACATTCTCGTCAGTAAGACTTTCGCTTAGAAATGTAAGTTCCCTTTTCTTAGCGGGGTGAGACTGAGTCCACTTGGTACTGCGGCCACTGCTGGCCTATTATACCAGCCCCAGATGATGGATGATGGTGATTGTGGAGCAATTGGTGGAATGAAGATTGGCAGGAGAAATCGAAGTACTCTGAGAAAACCTGCCCCAATGGCACTTTGTCCACCACAAATCCCACATGATCGGATCCGGGCTCAAACCCGGGCGACCGCGGTGGGAAGCCAGCGACTAACCGCCTGAGCGGGGCTGAGGTATGTCGCGACTGAAGTTCCCTTACAGCGTAGCCAAGTACAGCATTTTTGTTTGCCTGAGTTATTTAACAATGCGTTCGGTATCTAGAGTGTTTAGAGTGGGAGTATTTTATTTCGATATAGTACAATACATTCATAACAGCATATTCATCTCATGGGGTTGCGAGAACTTGTTCACTTGTAAACCGATACATTTCGTATTCAGAATACCTCATTGTTCCCGCCCATTGTACTCGATTTTCAGCGCAGGGGACATGGTTTCAAATGTAACCAACAGACGATGCTGGAAGGATTTCCATGGGGTGTGTTCTACCGTCCACTTACAACGTTTCGTGTATAGTGTTCTACTTTCCATTGATTGTATAAGTAAACGAATTTATGTCTCTGTATTTGATAAGATTCGTAATTTAGGTGTCGTAATTTGGTTATTTCTAGAATCTGTAACCAATCTTAGCCTCTGCTTTTGGAATAATTTAGGGTAGGTACACCAACGAACTGAAAATTAGATGACTTAGAATAAAATTAAATCGGGTTATATGCAAAGAATTATCTTTGCTATGTTGTTTGACAATAGCCTGTGGAACCGTATCTTTGATATCCATGGACTTGCTGTGATGTGATTGGTCAGTGAATTTGTAGTAAAATCACGTAATGGAGGATGTATGTAGATTGGTGCGTTGTAAATTAGAATTCGGTAAAAGTGTGTTCTTGCATATTTATGAGTTCTTCGAAATGTAAGTGTTTATGCTGAAATGCGGTTGAAATAAGGTAAATAAATTACAGTATGCCTTGTATGTCTTGATTTAAGTATGTCATCCATGAACACTTTGGTACCTCGTGGTGCTCAGTCTTAAAAAAGGAAAAGTAGGACTGATTTGTCAGGTCAACTAAAACATATTTTCCGTAAATATTCAGTAATGTATACATGTTTGTTTAATGGCATAGAACATACATGTATATGTAATTTTTTTTTCTCAAGGAAACCTGTACCACGCCTCAGTAACAATTATTGTGTTTGTGGACATTGCCCATCGTTCGTTTTTATTTAAAACAACACACAACGTTTCTGAGACTAGATTCTGACCTTCAGGTGGAACCTACACAGTTGGCCCAGTCAATAGGGCTAGTCCCTGTCTTCTCGGAAACGTTGTGTGTTATTTTAAGTGTTCCTTCGTCTATTGACAGTGGTAGTGTGTGTGTGTGTATATATTTGCATTTGCAGTGAACATTTCATGGTAAGGCTTTAAGTTCATTTGTTGATGGTGCAAGTGTTTCCTTTTTTTTATGTAAGGTGAACATTTTACTGTGACCTTTGTTTAAGTGGTGCTTCATCACTTGATGGTGGTAGTGTGTTTCTTTTATCTCCAGTGAACCTTTTATTGTAAGCCTTTGTTTAAGTGTTGCTCCAGCCACGCACATCCTATATAATTGTGAGGCCATAGCATATGTTATATTTGATCACCTTGGCCAATTTTGTATGAAACAAAAGTGATTACTATGATGCTGTCATGAACAAAGTTCTACATTTCACTGGAAGTGTACGATTGGTAAAGGTTTAATCAGAAGGGGAAGCAGAGTAAATCATTGGAGGTTGCAATGCAAGGGCCAGAATATTGTGGCCCAGCCCTTATGCATTCATTAATTGATTGTTGCTTAATGTGTGCACAGTACTCATGTTCTTTTTTTTGGTGGGGGGGGGGAAATGAACATCTTATTGTGAGCCTTTAAGAGTTAACTTCATCTGTTGACAGTGCTAGTATGTGCATCCAGTTTTAGGTCTCCATCAAAAGTACTGCGGTAGGCATCCAACTCTGACTTCATTTTTTCACAGTGCTAGTGTGTGCATTTATTTTTTTCTGCAGTGAACATTTTATTGTAAGCATTTATTTAAGTATAAAAGGTTATCAGTTCCATCCACTGTGGTTGATAAATGCTTTTTCCTCCATTTTAATCTTTCATCCTTGACATGTGTTGGTTGGAGCAACCATCTTCAGAAGGACATATCAGTACATGTGTAAACTAATATTACAGTGTGATTGATCATTATCAATACATCCAGACAATACCAATATAATGTCATGAATATAAAATCCTAGGTTTTAACAATTACAGTGATGTGCCTGAATTTATTAAAACCATTGCCAGTGTGATGGGCCAAGAAGAACAAAATCAGACTTTTAAGTGTTCCTTCATGTGTTCACAGTGCTAGAGCTTGTTTCCTTTTCTTGGATCTGCAGGTAACATTTTACTGTGAGCATTTGATTAAGTGTTGCTTCATCTGTTGGCAGTGGTAGTGCATTTTTTTTTTTTGCATCTGAAATGAACATTTTATTATGAGCCTTTGTTTAAGTGATTGTTCATCTGTGATGCTGCTGAAGAGGGATGCATGATGTGGTAATGTTATATAGGACTTTGAGAGTTCCAGAACATTGTCAGCTGTGACTTCAGCTGATGGCTGAGTCAGGAATTATTTGACGGCAAGAGAGGACAGATACTTGTACTGCATACTCTGATGTGTGATTTGTGGTTCTTGATGGTATATAGAAGTATCATTACTAGTGCTATGATAAAAAAGAATTATTGCACTCATCACAGTACCACTCCAGCAGACAAGAACTCATGTCCATGTGCTCTTCTGTCAGTTCCCTCAGAACCCACCCTGCACAGACTTTGTGGAAACCAAGAATATTATGCACTGTTGAATGAACTGAACTCCTACTGATGTCTGGTGTTGATGCACTGTCCTGTAATGATATTCGTCCATCCTTGAGGATCATGGCTCTGGCTTGTACCCGTTTGTTTGTCATCATTTATTGCCGTGGTGTGGTACTGCAAGCATGCTCAATTGGTTTCTCTTGTCATGCCTTATGCAAAGAGGTCTCTCCACTCAAACAAACACTGTTCTCATATTGGACTCTTAAAAGTTTGTGAATTTCAACTCCTTTAACATCTTTTGCTGCCCCCCCCCCACCCACAGAGATATGTACACCCACAAGAGAACCATGGCCAACTGTTATTTTTTTATGCATACATGTTCTCTGCTTTGCCACAGCTTGCTTACTGCAGCTAAGGTCATGTGGGGCAGTGTAATGATATGTCATCTGATGGGATCGGGAGCTGCACACTTCCATCAGGCTAGCTTGTGCCTTCTACACATGGAATGAAAGTGCAGATACCTGTTGAATCAACCCTCATATGTTTCAGAAAACTGGTACCAACAAGTGGAAACAGCAAGGGTAAAGAAGCAACTGCTTGGTACCAGAATGCCCTAGGGTATGTTGTAAGTTTGAGTAGAATGAGGAATGACTTAACTCTTGAATCAGAACTACAGACAGTGCACCAGTTGAGTTTCAGCCAGTACCAAGAATTGAGCTTGATAAATACTCTGTCCAGTATGCAGACTCCGAGGGAAGTTGGAATCTTACACTGGTTTAGTTGAAAGACTCAGCTCTTTAGGATTAACTTTAACTTTAATTTTCTTGTTCCATCACATCCATTTGAGGCCAAAGCCTAGATACAGAATTGTGTCAAATTATCTTGCTAATACAATCAAGCAATTGTCTAATAAAATCTGAGTATAATTTATAACAAAAATTGTTTACATCATAGTAAAGTTATTCTCTAATATTTAAACATTAAAACTTTGATAAAATTCAAGATGAGATTTTTACATAAAATAACAAATATTGATCATATGATTCTTTGATATAAAATAAATTCATCATATACATTCTACAAAAATTATTATATTTGTATACTAGTTTTTATAATTATAATTGTATTCAAGTTATTAAAGTCATTAAATATTCTACTCAGCATCTCATATACTTATGCATTTGCACAATGATTATCTCTTAATAAAAATTCATTCAATGTATAAAATGAATTAGTATACAAAAAGTCCTTTAAGTTATGTTTAAAATTATTTATATTATTAAAGGTTGTTTTAATTTCATTGGGCAATGCATTGTACATCCTCACGGCCATGTGAAATACTCCATTGCCATATTTCATCATAATCCCTGTTTATATTGTGACGTATTTGCGCTATGCAGGACACCACCTCCCCAACCAGCGGTGACATAACACCTTTGGTGTGTTGCCGTTGCTACAGTAATAGGCCAGTCAACACCCCACCCACTTCCACGGTGACGTAACACGGGATGCCGCCATTGCTACTCGGCAGTAAACAACTCCCGACAGCGTTGCTAGGCTATCGGCAAACATGGCGTCAGACAACAGTGGTGCCTATTACGTAACTGTTTTCTGTGTTGTCCGTAACGGGGCTAAATAAGGGACAGTGAAGACAATTCAAGAGTGAGTTACGAGTTAGCCAGGGAGTCAGTAGTCAGTCAGCAGTGAGCAGTGAATGAGTCGTCAGCAGCTGCCAAAGACAGTTGGAATTTAGCTGTCGCCGGAGACAGTTGATTTGGAACAGTCAACCAGTCAGTTTTAGGCCAAGTGATTGTAATACTGCAGATGGCAGTAGTTGTGAAATTGTGAATTGTGTGATTGTAAGAGCAAGTGTGAAATAAAATTCGCTATATTCAATACAGCATGAAGTTATTTGTCGCGTGACATATACCAAACACGTGACAATATCAAACATTTCCTTATTTTTTACTACAAATGTTAACAGGGAGTATATATACTGTGATCTTAATGGAAGTATATTCATGTTTCTAAAGTGTTCTCTGCATGATTCTGTATAACTACTTCCTTTTATTATTCTGATAGCTCTCTTCTGTATATTAAATATTCTTTCAGCATGTGACAAATTACACCAAAACATTAATCCGTATGTCATGATAGAGTGAAAATATGAGTAATAAACACTTTTTAGAGTTTTAGTAGAGACCATTGGTTTCAAGTTTCTTATCATGTAGCAAGCTGTATTTAATTTCTTTATGACCTCATCTATGTGCCTATCCCAGGTTATCGCATTTTGGATATTTAAGCCAAGAAATTTTATGTGATTCATACTTGTTAAATTGGAAACAAACTGTCAGTATTACACAAACTTAAATAGAGAATTGCAAAAAGCAAAAGAAGAAATTTCAACTTATAAAAGAATAATAGAAATGCTTCAAGCTGAATTCAGAGAAAACTCGTTACTAAATAATCCAAGTGAGCTAGAACAGAACAACAGTTATTATGAACAGGATAAAGCATCATTAATAGAAGAATTATTTATCGGTTTTTTATACAAATGTGCGTGCTATTGGATGACAACTGTAATCCTTAGTTGTGACTGTAACAAGGACGATCTCCACATCCGCATGAGAATGTACTCTCGACGGGATTTATGGAAGGTGAATAAATGAAATGAATGAAATGCTCCTATGTCTCCCATATCTCTTGTCGCCTTATTTTTTCTAGTGAAATTTATGTAATATGTTTTTGTTGTATTAAGTTACATTAAGTTTTTTAAACCAATCATCCATTACACTATATGCCTCATTTATTATATATTTAAATTTTATTGGATTTATTTGCACAATCAAAAAACTTGCATCATCTGCAAATATAATGGGAGTACATTTCGTCTCCAAAATCTTGGGCAGGTCATTTATACATATTATAAACAATAGTGGTCCCAGTATTGATCCTTATGGGGCACCAATTTTTTACTTCAGCCCATCGAGAATTTACTTTACTACTGTTTGTCCCATTAAATATAGTAGTTCTTTGTTTTCTATTCAATAGATAAGACTTATATAGGTCATATTGGTTTCCTTTTATTCCATAAAACTTTAATTTGTTTAATGAATCTAATATTCCGGCAATAAGACTAAAGATTGCATTTTCAGTTTCTTGGTTTTTCTTGAATCCAAACTGATGATTACTTAAAAATGTTATCATTTAAATGTTTTAGTAATCTATTAGTAAACCTTCTCAAATATTTTACTAATTGATGTTAAAATGGAGATAGGTCTATAATTTGATTTCATATTTTTGCCACCTTTTTTATAAACAGGCACTATTGTAGCATATTTTAATCTATCTGGAAAGATGCCTTCATGTTTGAGTATGTTATTTGAGCTTTTGTCATATGCATGGGTTTTACTAGATTTCAGGGACCATATAATATTTTCTGTTTCCCTACTCGTATTTTTTGTAGTGTTTATATTCGGTAATGGACTCTCAAAAGCTTTAAATTTATCATTTGTGTTATTTTCCTTTATGTGTTTATGCATGTTGACTGCTATATCACTAAAGTATTTATTGAAGGNGGCAGCTTCTACCGAGAAGGAAACCCCGAAATAGGAGAATACTAGTTAAAGGTGAGCTAGGATGATTGTGATAACTCCTTACAGAGCAAGGGACGGTGGAAGCAAGGAGGGATACCTCCACGGCCCCTACTTGCGGCGTAACAGTGGTGGCAGAGGAGGCTACCTCCACGCCCCCCTGCGCCGCTAGGGCAATACAACTAGTAGAAGTAATTTTCGTTTTGTACAGTTCATTAAATTGTGCTGCCATTTCTGTGATATATTTGAAGTATTTTGTTTATGTATTAAATTTTGTAAATTACATGCTGCGAGGTGTCCAGTTATTTCGTGCTCATTAGTGTCTGACCATTTAATAAACATTTTTATTTTGAATGGTAAATTCTTAAGCTTCATCAGTGTATGTTCTTTTTTATATATACAGGGTGCTCATATGTAGATAATAAAAATAGTTTATATAAACATGGGTCCAGAAATGCACAGTTTCTGAGTTTGTAAGGTCTGTCTATGACACTAAGCTCTTCACATTACCTTACAGTCAATGGTCCAAATGTCCACCTCCTGCCAGAAAGAGGCCTCAGCTCGATGTCTCATTGCCACCCAGAGATGACCCACAAATCCTGGCATATTGCATATTGTCTGAAAACCCACTACAATCTGATTTTGGAGAGTTTCCACATCATCCACTGGAGGGGAATACACAAACGATTTTAAGTGGCCCCACAAGTAGAAATCCAGTTGATTTAAATCATGTGAGGACTGAGGCCAGGACCTGTACCTACCCATCAACCAGGAAACTTTCAAGTCAGGTACCTGCGGGCAACAAGACTGAAACGTGCAGGAGTGCCATCATGCATGAAGTATAGTTCTCGATGAATGATCAGAGGCACACTGGCCAAGAAATGTTTTCCTATCTGAACATGTTCATCCTGGATACCTTTCTTGGTACAAATGAGTCACCACAGCATTACTGTCTGCCAAACAAAACATGAAGTGCACATCAGCTAGCTCTTGATTTGAGCAACTTGCAGTCACCACATAATTACTGTACACTTCTCCTACTAATATTTGGAAACTTTCCGAGATTGTATCGGTCTGATACCATGACTGTCTTAGTGTAGTGAATGACGGAAACCATCTGTGGGAGTTACGAAATTGAGTTTATCATTCAGCAGTTTTAGAAAGCCTTGACTTGGAAACTATGCATTTCTGGAACTGTGTTGATATGAACTGTTTTTATTATCTTTATATGAGGAATGCATTCCTGAAGCTATGCCATGTATTTCTTAAATACTCTGTATAAGAGTAATTCTTTTATGAAATGTACTTGAGTTAAGTTACATACATAATATTTTTTAGTAGGATTGCTTTTCTGTGTTTCGGCTTCCGTCATCGGTGTTTTCATTCTTTTGTTATTTACTTGTACACTGATAATTGTCATATTTTGATTTCAGTGTTATTTTGAGTTATGTTCCAAGTATGGTTCCAGTATTTAATATTAATATGGTGTAAGGTGTGTAATTGTTCATTCAGTGTTTCTTCCTAATGTATTAGGCTTACATCAACAGCCCCAGCTGTAGGCATGGCTACACTTTACTGTTCAACAGAATGGGACAGTTCATATGTGTAAACTTCTCACTGTGGAATGAAAACGGGAAATTTTGGCACGGCAGTATTTATTGAAAGAGAGCAGTAGTGTGTACTATTCCCTCTGTGTCGAGTATCACAGGAGCAGGAGCTGGGACTGTGTTTGATCTGCAGTGGTACAGTAGACTTGTGAACCCTTGAGTGGATGAAGTCAAAAAGACATTTATAATATCAATGACAAGAAATTTAATTTCATGCGTTTGTATGTACAAGCAAAGATATACTGTATCTTAAGTTTGTCAGACATGGTGTTAACTCATCTGTGTTCCATTGCAGTGGTGGAGATATCGACCAACACACATTATCATAAAAATGTAAGAATTTAGTACCTGAGGGTTTGCCTGCCACAGTATACAGTATGGACGCAGTGTCTAGTCTAATGCTCACACATTGAAGATGACAAAGAAACATTATGTGCCTAAGTACAATATATATTATAATATCGTTTTTGAAATGTTTTGTAGACAGGCTGTGAAAACAGAGTGTTTTGATTGGGTGATCAGCTATATGAATAACGAATTTCCATTTTAGTGGCAGTCTCAGCATCCATCATCAGGGACTAATTGTATGAGTGATGTAGCAATGTGGCCAGTGTATACACGCAGTTGCTCTTGGAATCTGATACCTCATTGCAAATGGTGGAGTCAGGGGCTGACTTATATCCATACCAATGGTCCTTATTTCCTAACATGGGAAAACTCAGATGTTGGGAAATGTTACTAGTGCTTGTGTATTGAAGGTGCTTCTTCATTGATGTATGCTGGTAGCCAGGGTCCATGATTAGCCTAGACTGAATCCTGTGTTCCTGTTTTAGTTACTGGGATGTAACAGGGCTGGACTGGTGGGCGTGTACTGTGTAGTTGCAGTTATTGCTGTGGTATCCTGTAGTTAATTGTATGCAGTACTGCATTATGTTTGGAAATGGTACATGGATGCTAGTGGCCCTTGAGACTGGGTTACATCTTGACATCACCAGAGAAATGGGATTTAGTGTAAGTCTGTCTGAGAACCTACCTACCAGTGCACATCAGCAAAGCATAACCATTGACACATTATCCATGTTAAATGATACAGATCATGACCAAATACATGACGAGAACACCTGATCGCCTGTTGTTCTCCAGGTTCATCAGAATGGAAGCAGACATTTTCTGTGAAGCACTGGAAATTGATTACACACTGACATGGGGTTTGTCCAAGGAGGTTTTTTTGTAGGAATTGAAATGGGTTGCAGGTGGGTTGGAAGTTGAACACATGAATCCATGGTTTCATTGTCTTTTGCTCCATGCAGTCTTTCTGAACCAGTGTGGCAAGACACTGAATTTTTTGTTTTCATGGATTTAATGAAGTGTGGTAACAGCAATTCAGTCTAGGATCACATGGATGTGTGGTGCTGTTTGTTAAAATGTTTCTGTCTGGATATGCTTATGCATAGCTTGGTGCCCAAGTTGTGATGACACTGACATGAAAGGTGAGTGAGATATATGTAATTCTTATGATATATGATATAACTACGTCCTAAGTGCAAACTATATTTATAGGTCTTTCGTTTTGTTCCTCTTTATACACTCCATGTTTCGGCCCCAAATGGCCATCAGATACGTGAGTGTATATACCTGATGATGGCCGTTTGGGGCCGAAACATGTAGTGTATAAAGGAGAACAAAACGAAAGACCTATAAATATAGTTTGCACTTAAGACGTAGTTATATCATATATCGTATAAAGTGCAACAGGATGCTTAAATATAATATGTAATTCTTATTTGAAGGTCAGTGTTTGCTGTAAGGACGCATGTACTATTATGTACCATTTGGATTGAAATAAAGGCTTAAAAGCCCATGTTGGACTCTCCCTCACCCCAGTTTTCACACTGTGTATTTTGTAATAGTTTCTGGGCTTCTATTGATTATCTGTGCATGAAGTTTTGTCATTAATGTGTAATATACTGTTTTATAGGATTTGGTTTGTTTCCACTTAAGTTGAATCCTGTCCTCATAATAATTTTCAATTTGGTTCTGTTTACTTCCCCCCAGGCTTTGCTTACCATTTCACCATCTCTTCATATTTGTATGCACTTTGGGTTTGCAGCATTTAAATTTGTAATAGGCTGTCAACTGTAGCAGCATAGCAGTGTCAGGCAATGAGTTGAGTGAATATATTGAGATTATACTTCGAGGAGACTTCATCTGAGGCCACTGGTATCAGAATAGGATTATGTATTTTGGTTGTGATCAGCATAAGAGTCTATTTTAATGTAGTGGATTTGCAATAGAAATTGTTTGGATATTCAGATTGGGCCATGGTGTATGAACATGAAACATTTGCGAAATGTGTTTTTGCTCTGTTCAGTACATTTCATGAGAAGTATGCAAGTCCAAAGGTACTCGAAAATGAGATGGTGTGATAAGGGTCCCTCTCACATTTTTTTTATCTCAATTATGGTGTGTAGTAGTAAACCATGAACATAATTATCTTGCTGCAGTGGGAACTGGCCAAGGTAAGAAGGCAAAAAGATGAGTAATGAGATGTGATAGATTTACGTACAATAATGTAAACAAAAATTGAATGTGGGAAGTAGTGTTGGGATTTGGAAGAGGATAGACTGGCTGATTATGAGATTGTCGTGCGATCTGCAAGCTTTGAATTGTAAATTGCATTCCCAAATAAATATGGGGGAAGGGAAATTGCAAATTAAATGCCAGTGATAGTTTCTGTGGATGCACTTTTACCATAGGGAATATTAATTTTGTATATAGGGACGTGGTGGTAGGGAAATGTTGCATATCTATGTGATGTTGGCTGAGTAAGGAAGGCTTATAAGCAACACCTCAAATAGGTTCTATATCTTTAAGGGATGAAATTCGTGATCTGTTGGCTTAGGTGTATTTAGGACAGTAGGAGAGAACCAAGGGCATGTCGGTCACAGGAGAGGAATACAAAGGGTATTTTGGTAGGATAAATTGAAGGATTTCTTGGGGATACAAATAGAATATTTAGATGGATGTTGGGAAAAATGGAGCCAAGGGGGGCAGAATGTGGACAGGATTATTTTGTTATTTTTTATTGGGGTGAGAGACCATTTGGCTACTTGTGGCATATTGTACCATTCCTAGATGATTGTGATTGTAGAACAGTTGGTAGAATGAAGATTGGCAGGGGAAATCGAAGTACTTTGAGAAAATCTGACCTAGTGCCACTTTGTGTCCACCACAAAGCCCACGTGACGTGGCCAGGGAAGCTAGTACAGGAGTCCTGTAGTTCAGAATGAGGGACAGTGAGGTCGCGGGTGCCATGAAATGGTAATTTCTTATGTCACTGAGCAGCTGTTTGTAGGGAGTCAGCACAATGAACTTGGTCCTGATGTATGCCATAAATTTAGAATTCGGTACCTGTAGGCAATAATGAATCTCATGGACGTGAATGTACAGGTGGGCGGCTATAGGACGCAGTAGAGATTTCTCTGCGGTTAGGGAACATACAACAGTGCGTATAAGTTCAAATTAAAATTTCCGTTAGTATGATCAAGCCTGTTAGCAAATTTTTGCCGAGAGAAAATTCAGTGTTTCGGTCGAAGGCGAAACGTTTACGCAAAGAGAAAAGGAGTGCCACGCATTGTACAGCGTATGTATAAATGAACCCCCCCCCCCCTTATCCAGATGTGTTGGCTGCTGGCACCTATGTATATGCGACTAAGAGCATAGAAGGGTATGTTCTTAGAACGCTGGAACAAAAGAAATTAAATTTTATATCAAGATAATTAGATCGGTTGTCATCTCATATTAAACCAAGAACCCCCTTCGTGAGTAATGTACATCTATATTTTTCGGTAAGAGGATTATATGCAGAAATGATCGAAGCCAATGCCTTCACAACATTTATTAGAGCATGTCCGTTGAAAAGTGAGCGATTAACCCCTCAGTACGTGGCACGTCAGCGGCTTCTGTCATGTCAGGGCTCCATGCCCCGCACGCGTAGTGCAGCTCTAAGTTTCAGCTCGTATTTTGAACCATTTTTTTTATGTAAAGTAATTCTTTTGGTATGAAATTGAAGAGGAAATGTCAGGCTATTGTTTCGTATATTCGTTGTTCCACTTTGAACTTCCTGCTGGAATTTAAATACATTTGAATTCTTTGAAAAAGTTTTCAATTTCAACACTTGGTGCGCTTGTTACCATACAAATATATCTCTACCTAGGGGAATTCTTATGAACTAAATATGTTAGATCGATACTGTGTGCTGCTTCAACATTGGTATTTGTACGAGTAACTACGAGAAGACACTTGGAGAATCTACGACTTTTTGAGGCGTAATGTTAACTCTAAGAAGTGTGCTATGACTGCTACATAGCAAATGATAAACAGTCCACTATTTGAATGATAACTACTATAATTCTCCCTTCTATAAATACGCATCATGCAGTCTGGCTAGCCAAGGCCAGCTGTGTTGTGTCAAGACAAGTGAAAAATATATTTACTTCAAACTGAATCAGAACAGAGTTTTATCATACAAGATTTGAGGCTTTCACGGCGATGACTATGAAGAAAGCAGTCTTCTGGGATTTGGCATCGTGTATATGTGGTGTTAACTGACGTTTCGGAGGAACGTGTCGCCTCCATCTTCAGGGTAGAAGGAAAAATATAAGAAATCCCCAAGCGAAGAGACCGTGATAACCAAGCTTTACCGGTTCTCACGGTCTCTTCGCTTGGGGATTTCTTATATTTTTCCTTCTACCCTGAAGATGGAGGCGAAACGTCGGTTAACACCACATATACACGGTTCCAAATCCCAGAAGACTGCTTTCTTCAAAGTTTTAAAAGATTCGGAATTAGTGAAAATGGATGTATGTGCTTTTCTCGATTCTGTGGTAAATGGCAGAATCGAGAATAGCACAAACATCCATTGGAAGAATATGCAAAAGGATAACACAAAGAAACGAATAGATGAATTGTCAATCAGAATTCAGTTATTTGAGGGGCTCTGTGAAATATGCTAATGCTATAGAACATTTGTCAGACAAAACAGTGCTCCGTCTAGGAGAAAGAAATTTTATAAGCAAGATTCCACCAACTGCAAAGAAATCAAAATCACAGAAACAGCGTGTTGTGCATCAAATCTGTGTACTGGAGTGAAACGTGTGACGTGGAACTCTGTGTGGAATGTTTTCACGACTAACACACCCAGCTGAATTTCTAAGGTAATATGATACTATCTTTCATAATTTTTATAGACTTACTGTGCCAAAAAAAAATAATTTTAAAGCAGTGTGGATCGAAACACCACTTCTATATACATTTCTGAACGTAGTGTGTAAATTAGAAAAAAAAACTCCAGTCTTTTTCAATTTATTATAATTTAAGTGAAATGTTGCACTCTCCGATTTAAATATCCTCCGGCATAGGAGTTGAGTGGGAAACTAAATGCCCGTGGGCGGTGAAGGGTTAAGCTCTAAGGTGAAATGTACCGTCCACAGAGCATTATTTATGTCTGCAATAAGGGCCGCGCCATAGCTCAAGCGGTTAGTCGCTGGCTTCCCGCCGGGTCTGGTCAAGTGGGTTTTGTGGCGGACAGAGAGGCGCTGGGACAGGTTTTGTCACCCTCACGTATCATCTGGCGCTGGTACAATAGGCCAAAAGTGGCCGCAGTACAAGGGACTTAGTCCCACCGCCCTAGCATTAAAAAAACTGTCTGCACTGTCGTATGCTTGCCTTGGGATATGCAGCAAATACCCACGTTTCGAAAGTGCAGCGCTTAGAAATCAAGGTTCTCCGCAACAACACCAATAACCCAAGGCGTAGAGCGGTCAGCAACCAGAAGCCACAGAAGATGGTGAAAATGTAAATGCGTGGAATACAGGCGAAGCCCGAGAGAACACCAGGCTTAAATTTTGCGGCGGTGAAGCTTGTGATCATTGAGGTGACTAAATTGCCGGTCTAGCGTGAGGTAATGAAAATAAGGCAGAATCTGTTGTGGGCTAACAGGTGACAAGTGAGAAGGGATAGACCCGTCTTGTCATCAGAAAGGATTCCCATTGAAGGCCAAACAGTGAAGCTTACTTCAAGACTAAGGTCTGGTCATGAGCGTCTGAATGGGCTCTAAATTAAGAGAAACTGACTGGCCAACCGTCAGTCGTAAAATGACTTTGAAACGCAGCGGTAGGATATGTGGAAGACGAAGGCGAATAACCACCGCGGGCCTTTGGTGGCGCACTGGCGTATGGTTTGGAAGATGCGTGGTTCGAAAACACGATTATTTTTGTGAAAAAGAAAAAAAAAAGAATGTAGGGTTCGAGACCACGGTGTCTTTCGTCAACAGAAATTGAAAAGTGAATAAATAAATACGATTTTTCTGCAGCTATGAACAAAGTCGCAGAATATGAGGAAGATCGCAGACATTATAATAATACGTTCTCTGGTGGCCTAGAGGTAAGGCACAGGCGTGATAAACACAAGGTTAGTGGTTCGAAATCAAACGAATTTTTGTAATGAGATTTTTATGGAATTATATAGCGACATGTAACATAAGATGAAGATTAAAGGTCAAAAAATTTCGGTGGCATTGGTGGCGTATTGGTAAAACACCGGCGTAGTGAACCAAAGTTACGAGGTTCGGAACTAACGAAAGTTTTATAAAATACAAATGGAGTTAATAANCTTTGGCCCACCTTCCGCCCACCAACCACCCGCCCTTAGGGGGTGACTTTAACTTATTCACTTGAGACCAGGTTCTATCAGCGAGTGTTAAGAAAGTATTAAATAACCCTGTAGCGCCATCTGTCGACTAAAACGTCATGGAAAGCCACGAAGTGAAGCAAAAATGTAGCATCTTAGTTTCTTATTATCTCCCTTACTGGGCTGCAGAAACCGCTTTATAGGGTAGGGCAGGAGGTACTAGGGATGAGATTATGTGAGGCTTGTGACCCCACCCTCGGGATCAGGTAGAAAGTTAATCACTTCAGACTAAAATAAATCTGTAGCGCCATCTGTGAACTAAAACCTCATGAAAAGCCATGAAGTGTAGTAAAAAATGTACCAACTTATTTCTCCTTTCGCGTCAGACTCGCCACACGCACTTTAGCGATCACGCAGATATTTAATCATTTGAGACCACGCTAATTCTGCGAGAGTTAACAAGAAAATATAAAACAGAAACTGTGATAAAACGCGTACATGCGTGGAACTAGGATAGAAAAGGAGATAGTAATTTTTGCTACAAACCTAGCTAACAAAAACAAGTATATGAGCAGCAATGCATAGAAATAGAAACAATTTTGTGAAGACATGTATATCTTATGATAGCGCCATCTGTGGAGTAAAACCCGAACACTCGAGACTAAAACCTCGTGGAAAGCCACAAAGTGAGGTCAAAAATGTAGCATCTTAAGTTTCTTACTCGTATTATCTCCCTTATTGGGCTGTGCAAGCCGCTCCTCTGAAGAATTCATTTTCTAGGGAATTCAGAATCGAAATTTGTTATTTTAAGTTGAATTTTGGGGTATGAATGGGAAATTCGGAATCAAAACTTGTTTTTTAAGTGGAAGTTTGGAGGTATGAGGGGGAAATTCTGAATAGAATTTTGTTTTTTAAGGGTCCATTTGTTTTATGAAGGGAAAATTTGGAATCAAACTTTATGCAGAAGTGGNCAAATTGCAGCCGCGGCGCGCACTTGATTGTACGCACTGTACTACATACACCTAAAATTCTGCCTGCATAGTAACAAGCAGTCGTCCCCAACTCTGGCCCTTCCAGACAACAAGACTCTATAAACTGCTTGTACCATGGACATCAACACATGATGATGATGATGATGATGATGAGTATGGTGGATAATCATGAATCTTTTACCTTTGATCCATCCTCCTTACATGTCCAAATCACTCTTGTAGGTTCATTTCTGCAAATTCAAATTTTTCCCCTTGCACTCCAGGAAGTGAGAAAGTCTGACAACACTGGAGGGACACCTAAAGGTCTCTGAAGATGTTACGATGGAAGGGACATGGGAAGGTGCTCTAAAACTGAAGAACAATACCTTGTCATTCCCAGACACAACTTGGCTTAAAAGAGTTCAATTTATTTTCTTTAGAGCTTACACGACCATGATCACATCTATGTGACAGTAAAAATGAAATACAAAAGTCTATTATATTTTTCTCCTGTCTGTACCCTATAATTTAAAATGCAGTAATAACAAGACATTCAGACACACAATTTGATGTATGTTTTGCTGAAGACTGCCTACACATTTGAGTTTACTGATATATGGACAAAAACAGCCATGCAGCCATGTCATGGGGCAGCTTCTCCATTCATTAATTGTAACATGATTGTGTAGAACACAGAGAAAAATTTGCTCATGATATTTTTCTTACCATCTGGTGACTGCTTGTCCTTACACTAAAATCTTTCTTCTTTTGTTAAATTCTTTCTCATGGCAGTGACTGGGATGAAACCCATAACCCTTCATGTACGATACTGCATATTAAACAGTAACATATATTTTCCGATATATACTGGGCCCCTGTATTACAGACGTTACAGGATTTCACCTCTGTCACAACTACAAAACATGACCACAACATTCATGGGTACTCAATATAAATTTGTCTCTTTAAACAAAAAGTTAAATAATAATAAATTCTGACAAAAATATTTTTTTTTTCAAGAAACTCAGACGACGTGTATGAGTTTCTGACACAGCAGTATATATGTATGTGGCTGACCACTGGCCAGTCTGTGCATAAACATCAGTGATACAGGAGGATAGCTCATAGTATCACTGCTATAAGCATCCATTGTCAGTTCACCTGCCATTGAAAATTTCTGGCAAGTTTATTTCTGTATACCTAATTATGGGTAGAAACACTTTTTATTGCAACTGTGGACCAAAAAACCAAAACTGACTGGAACATGTCTCTACTTATACCATAGGAGTCAATGGAAAAATTGGGATATGTTACAGAATTAAACAATATGGACAAATTTTCACGAACATGGCTCTTGAAATGCAAGAGCAGGCTGAACAAGAACACATGTCACTACACATGATATAACCATTTGTGCAATTAGTTTATTCATGGAATGCAGATAAAAGAAAACCAAAATTGTCAACAGCTTAAATATGTGAGACCTGAAGTTTTGATAGCAAGTAAATACAATGCCTTCTCAGGAAATCAGGAATATCAATATGGAACTCATTTTCAACATTTTTGAACCGGTAACTGTCTCCATTATAAAGGATTGACCTTAACCCACTCTGATGGAACAGTGACAGCTTCCGAAACACAAATAGATTCTATTGTTAGCTGACAAAGACTTCATGGTTTAAATGTGGTTACATCTGACTTTCAGCATAATTCATGATAACAGCCTGTACTTGCATTTCTGCATTTCACTACTGAGGTCTCAGTATATTGGTTAAGCTTTAAGGGGTACTGGGTGGTCACTGTCACGAGAAAAGAATAAAGCGGCTTCATGATAATCAATGCCTGATAATGGGAGAAGAGCCACTTCCCACAATATCTGATGATGTCTGATGTGATCATGCCATTACACCTGTCTGCCCCAAGTCATTGCCATATCTGGAAAAATATCCTAGGATACACATTTCTCATTAGTCACAAATGCTATAAATAGAAACAAGTATCAGGCTGCATCCCAAGGGATCTCCTACTTGTTTACACGCTGACAATCATCCACAGCTGATATGGTTCATTTATTAATCCAATCACTCACTCAGTCCACTTGCATATCTCGCACCCTAACATACACACAAACATGGAGATTAATAGTCAGAATCTCTTAATTAAAATTACTCCCGAGAAATGTCACTTCCTGGTAACTTACAAGAAAAACAGAAGAGAATTTTAATGCAAGAAAACTAACATAACATAAGGCTGTAGAAATGTAGTGCAGTGGCAGCAACACAATGACAGAAACGATGGAATGACCAAAACACAATGGAAGTCGCAACATTCCAGACACAAAGTATGCGGATGCCTCTCACGTCACACACAGCTGCCAAGATGTGTGTTGCACCCACTGTTGGTGAATGTCAAAATAAATTCAGCACTTATTGGCGCTAACAATTAAAATATATAAACAAAAGGTTCATGCAGTGTTAGAAAACTCTCGGCAGAACAGGTTACAAGTTTTGTTGCACATGCTTGGCTGAGGACAGCAAACTACCACTCATGTCTTGGCAGCATCACTTCTACACCAAAACATTTACCTCAGACTAATGATGCAATGGAGCACCACTCAGTGTCTCATCACAAAGTGAGCGGCAAGTCAAGTTATTGCAACAGGCTGTGTATTGTCGGGGTACACTATATCGGAGCCAGACTGTGGTACATGGAAGGCACCAAGTGATCGATCGTCATTTCATCTTCATCCGAGTCAAGTAAAGAAACGTGCACACGTCATCTATTGTGTAGTGAAGCAATCCGTGTTAAGGAGGCACATACGGTGGTGGTTTGCGGTATGTGGGAGTAGGTTTGGGGCGGTTCTGCCTGCTGGAATCACGGCTGCTAGTGAAGGGTGGAGGTGGTTGGTATGGGGGATCTTCAGAGGCAGTGTTCTCACCAAGAAGGGGATGTGCAGCTGTGGGTGGTGAGGCCGGCAGCTCTGGTTCACCACGCTGGTATTCAGGTGGCGGCAGGGGTGGTTTTTCCTCCTTCATGATGACTGGGCTTTTGTTTCCAGGATCTGGACGCTCTTCCAATTCATCTTGGAAGATAACAGGAATCCCCTTGTTGCGGAAGCTCTGCCTCTCATCTTCATCACCCACATCCATCTTGCCAGTTCGCCGACGCCGGTAGAGAACACAGGCCACAATGCCAGCCAGGATCAACATGGCAGCAATGATCACAGCTGGCACTATAAATGTCACCAGATATTCATCCGACGTTCCTATGGGCTGAGTGTCTTCAGGTGGCAGGCCACTGCCATCAGGATAATGCCACACTGTCAGCTCTCCCTGGCATTTTCCAACCGGAGTAACTGTGATTGTTTTCACATTGAACTCTGGTCCCATGATCGCTCCCACACGCTCTGTTACAGTATGGTCTTCATTTATCAACAGTTTCCTTAACTCACTGATCTCATCCTCTGGACAGTGATCAGTGGGCACTGTGCGGTTGTGCCAAGTCACAATAGTTGAACCTTCTGTCACACTAATTAGAGATATAGCATTAGTATTTTGATCTCCAAACAGAATTTTGAGCTTCTCTATGAACTTCCGTTTCATGGATGGACTGTTCACAAATGTCTCATATGGCATAGCCAGTGTCATGGCAAACTGAACGGTGTAATGGATCCTGGGTGCAGCATGGACGACCACAACGAGACCATCATTTGCTGTTAGACTGCCACTGTCCTCACATACCTGTGCAAAAAGTTGAGTTAGAAAGCATTACGTCACAAACATTCACCATCACACAAGGGGAAAACTCATCTACAATATGGAGCAAGTACAATTTCAAGAAGTCTAGTAGATATACCAAGAATGAAATAGCAAGATTTCATTTATAAGGGATAATGACAAAAATTAATGTAGTGAAAGAAATGAAAGATGAAAAAATTGGAAGAGAACTGTACACAGGAACTGCAACACTTAACTTGTTGATACTCACACAATAACTGAAACACAGGAAGGCTGAAGAGAGACAAAAAGATTTAACATTTCTCTTTATATTCAATCTGTTTGCATTCAGTAGTACCCATTTTGGCTAGTGCAAAATCACTGGCATGTATGTGCTCTTTCATATCTTTTCCCAATTTTATTGTACAACAGCATATAAAAGTTGTAAGATAATGCAACAGATGATGCCACATTTACATTAATCTACAATAAGTCCCCTATCCTTTCTCTTCTGAAAAACAAGAATCTCCCTGAAGTCATACATTAACCCTGTTAGTCCTTCTTTATCAAGAGAGATATTTTACACCTCTGGAATCATACTTAACTACTTGGCAAAGATTCTGTCACATTCATGAAGCAGCCCTCTGGCCTTTTACTTTGCCTGTGAGTAAGTTCATTATTGGGCCACGCCATAGCTCAAGACGTTAGTCGCTGGCTTCCCACCGCGGAGGCCCGGGTTTGATTCCGGGTCTGGTCAAGTGGGATTTGTGGTGGACAAAGTGGCGCTGGGCCAGGTTTTCTCTGAGTACTTCAGTTTCCCCTGCCAATCTTCATTCCACCAATTGCTACACAATCACCGTCACCTATCATCTGGGGCTAGTACAATAGGCCAGAAGTGGCGGCAGTACAAGGGACTTAGGTCCCACCCCACTAGCATTAAAAAAAAATTCATTAGTAGTAAGCAGTAGGGTAAAAAATGTCTTGAGAAGATCAAGTTTATATATTACTGTCTTCTGGAATGTGGAGATGTGTAGACAGGTGGATAATGACCAATATTTTAGAGCAACCTGCTACTTCCAGTTTCATGGTGAAGGAGCATGAACCATGGGGAAAAATTACAGTGCTAAGAGTGGTCGCTGGAAGTAGTTTAGAATGAATTCCCTTGGCCCTGAATTTGGCCTCAGCTGTGGGCAGGAAGAGGCTATGAGCAAACCAATGGGATTAGTGTAAGCTGAATGGAAACCCATCTGACTGAAAATTTACACCGCTCTCATTGATTTGTTCTTAGCTTCAGTCTTTGTAGTCTTCTCCCTACATTACTGACACTCTTTGCCCCCCCCCCACACACACACACACACACATATTACTCTTCTGCTTGGAAGCAACAGTTTCCTCTGAAATGTCTGCAAATATCTACCAGACTACATGCCCTACGACCCCAGAAGACAGTACACATCAAACTCACCACAAGAAGCACAGATCTATTGAAGCACTTCTATCACCAGAAGTAATGTTCAGTCTATGTATAAAGGCAGGGTAATGAAGTGGCTTTGTTCCAAATTGTGATGCTTTATGGAGTAAACAAGAGAAGCCAGGCAAGCTACAAGTTTAAGCCTGTCAGCAACCCATGTATAATTCACAGAAGTTGTAGTTATCATTTTAAAGTACCATGCTACAGTATTTCTCCTGAATAGTTGGCAGTTATTTAGCTGGTCCAGAAACGTCACTTTGTACCACCAAGTTTAATTAAATACATCGAAAACCTGTGGAACTCTTATTACAAAACATCAACTGTTCTGAAACATATATGCCTATGATAAAATTTTCTTTACATTTTTATTATACAGATTGATCAAAACATGGCTATCAGATGAGAAAAGGCTAACCCAGACCCATGTAGGGCAATTAAAGAAGAGGACAGTGCTGACATTTAACATTAATCAAAACAAACGAAATTTGAGGCATTTATTTCATATATACCAATTTTCTCTCAATTTCTGACTGCATAATTTTTAAAAGTAAACTTTGTTTTTATTTTTGAAACTTCACATTCACTCTCCAATTTCTGTGACAGAGGATGGCATGGCTATTCTACACATTCTTTCTCATGTTTGTTTGAAGACTGATACTGCATTTAGTGTAATAAGGCTGAAAATTTGGGAACAGAAATGAAAGAAACACGAAGGGTGGCTGTGAAATGTCCGTAAAGGTATCAATGACAAAGAGATGTCCTACTATAATGAAAATTACTCAGTTAATGATTATTTTTATTAACAATCACAAAAATCATTTTGAGAGAATCTGGTGTCAAAACAGCAAAGATAAATTTAAAAGGCTGGACTGAGCCCAATGTAGAACTGAAACGGAGAAAAGTGAAAAGCCATATACATATAGGGAGTAACAGCAGTGACAGGAATAAGGAAAGACAGAAAACAAGACTGGGTCCAGGATAAACTGCAAACGATTATACATATATGAGCACATACAAGAAATATTGACAAAAAACAATATTTGCAATAATCTCACCAGCTGGTATTCCTTGCGGCCTTCATCCTCCCGTACTGGCGTGCCATAGAACTCCTGATTCTTGACATCAAACTGTAACCAGTTCGTCGGAGGTATCTGTGATCTGTCCATTGTCAAGAGTGACAGTCTCAGACTACGGGTGCTGCCATCTTCAGGGTCATAAAATGTATCCTGAAGAGAGATAACAATTGGTTAAGTACAATGAGAGGTCTGCCCTTACTTTGCCTTCTTCTTGAAGGATTAGTGTAATGTATTATCTAGAGTTCACAAGATTGAATGAGTTTATTAAGAACATAAATGAACTACATAACTGTACAACTTCAACAGAACTCCTACTTCTGAAGGTTTCTAACATCACTTTTCCCATGTTGAGAACATAAAATATTAGACATAATTTTAAGATTATCAATTTTTGAGATGTGTCAATAGCCTGGTAGACAGGTACCACAGTTTTGGATCAGCCTGTTGGCTTCACTTCAGGGTAGAAGTGAAAGCTGCAGGTTCCCCCAAAATGTTGGTTACAATCACCCAGACGTCATGGCTTCATATCCTATTAATTCGTAATCATCACGGTCAGCACCACGGGAATCTCAAATCATAATGTCACCTTTCTAAATTTGTGTGTAAACTAAAATACTGCTCCAGATTCTGAAAATAAGAAAAACAATGGAAGATGGCCTGTCTTATGACATCCTGCAAACAAGAGTTGGAATGCTTACCATTCAATAAAACGTAAAGAAGCGAAACTAAAGACGCAATTACCTCTGGCACTTTGAACACTAGCAGTCTGCCAACTGTGGCATTAATGTGGTCTACTGGGTTCCTTATGGTGGGGGGGTAGTTCACATTTGGTACTTCAGGATATGGTGAAGGCATGTGCGGCTTCCTAGGCTTCCCTATCACCAACTCGCACTGGTGAAGACCCTGGTATGTTACTTTCTTTGGTTTCAGGGATGGAGAAAGGACATTATTCAAAGCAGATGATGGATCTCCATCTTCATTTAGCACCAACACCTGAAAATAGTGTTTGATATTTTAATACAAATACTCTTGATATTACTAGCCGTCTGAGATAATGGTCAAACCTTCCTGGAGCAGAAGTTATATGAATGTTGCTACTACCTTATAAATCCAATCCATAATCCAATGTAGAATACACACATTTTTATGTTAGGTAAAAGGTACATGGCACTATGCCATGAAGACATATTGGGGGAGTGGAGGTAGAGCTCCACCATTCTTGACCATGGCACTAGATGGACATGAGTGGTCAGCTTCACGCTCCTGTTGCGTTACCACCAGAATCCATTCTTATGTTCAATTAAGAAAAGCAATTATCATTCATGGCATAGTAATCAAATATCCATGACTTACTTTTCATTTTTATGGATTAAAGAATGTAAGCGAGGGGCTTGGGACTTCAACACACTACAGCACATATTACAATACATCACTGAAAATAATTCCATAAAGTGGCCAGCTGATGCATACACTGAGGCCGTAAGCTGCCAGAACATAAATGTGTCAAACAACTGATCGGCTAAAGAAAGCAACGGGTGTTCAAAGGAGTCCAGATTAATCAACCACAGTGGGACCAAAGAAAGAAGTCCCATAGATGATATGGATGACAGTGCTCGAGATTTCTCCCATTCTGCCTACTACTCCAGCATATGTAAGTCCAAAATGCCGGTCTCTACCAAAGGTAATCATGTCGTTATAACTACCTATCATTCTTACGAACAAATGGCTGCAAAACTGGATAGGACAACGGGGAAGGATGCAGAGAAGGGAAGTGTAACACCCTGAGATATATGTGGATGGGGGGGGGGGTTGATCCATCGGACTTCTTTCCATGGCTTCAGTAGAGATGTGAGAACTATACTTGGATCCCTTGTTAGTTCCCTACCTTGAAAAGATTGTTGATATCATCTTTGGGACATGTATTGCGAGGCAGACTTTCGTTGGTCCAGGTGAAGTTAACATAGCCAGATTCCTCAATGACACTGCGAACCACAATCTGACTTGGGTCCGGGTCTCGATACAACCTGGCCAGCGCATCCAACACAGTCAGTTGCCAGTCTACTGATGACGCAAAGTCATATTTCTTCTCAACACGCAGCTGAAGGGTGAACTCATGGTTCACGTTGCGACGACCCTTGTGGTGCTGCACTGTAAGCTCCAGATTGTCTGACACAGACTTGCCTTCCCTGTCCATTGCCTCTATGATGAACTTCCACCTCGACACATGCTCTTCAAGGGGCCTGCAACAGCAACAAAAACCTATATAGAAGAGAATTCTTATATCACTGACTTCTGATAAACACATTCCCCCCCCCCCTTGGCACTACAGCCCCAGTGGGGCTAGGCCTACCTCCATGAACTCCATTCACTTCCGTTTTTCTAGATCTTACACATACAGTAGGACCCCTTGGGCGAGTGATCAGCTCGTCACAAGGCCTCTACCTGTAGACAAACACAGAAAAACGCGCACAAACATCCATGCCCTGAGTGGGATTCGAACCCACGATCCCAACTTCCGAGCGAGCGAAGACAGTGCATGCCTTAGACCGCTCAGCTACCGTGACCGGCAAACACATTTATACACAGCAGGACATTCATACTTGTAGTCCAGCCAGTCTGTCAATGGGCACAGATTATGAAACAAACACTCCTTGGTATATTCACATTCAACTGGAACACTTTCTTGCACATCTCCTTACACTGTCTACAAGTACTGTTGTGGCAGCTGCGTGCTATGGCACAGCCTGCAAAGGCTTCAAACCATGGGCCTCTGTCTCAGATATTACTAATGGTGAAGTTGATCATAACAAAGTTTATTAAGTTACCTGTTTTAACTGACAAAGCATGTTTGATGTATCTGTGGCACTGCAGGTCAGGAGTACACATTAATAATTAGGCCAGAACTGCATAACACGCCTCATATAACAGAACATATTAAAAGGACAGGGTTGGAGTGGTTTGGACGTAGAATTAGAATGAGCTGAACGACAATTCCTGCACGCCTTCCCATTTCCCTATCCGTGAAGGCCTGCACTAAGATGGTGGGAAAGAGAATGATTTACGAGAACTGAGGGTGAAGAGATACAGGCAAAAGGCGAATAGAAAAGAAGAATGGGACAGCCATAAAGGCGGCCAAGTTCCTTAGAGCATCACGGAGCCAAGGAATGAGTCAATGAAACTGTTACATACACACCTTTGCATCAGCCCAGACAGAAGAATGCGACTGATATGCCTGGTTCATCTATAGGAGCTCCAAACACACATCCTTATTGTGGAGGAGGGTAATGTCATGGGTGGGAAACTGGTGGGCACTCACACAAAGGGACGGATAGAAGGGCTCTGTTCCTGCCCAAGCAAAGATGGAAGGTATGTGTTTTGGGCTCAGTACTCATACTGAGGTACTGAAAGGTGCAGTGCCTTCATGGTACTGGGTGTGACTCTACAGTATGTAGACATATGGGTGTCTGAGGATGACGACAGTTTATTATGACAATCTTCTGTACACCTTCTCTCAAGTAATCTCTTCACCTTACCCTTTGTGCCCGGAGTGTGCTTATGACAGACTCTTTTAACATAAAAGAAATGTTACTGTCATCCATGTCTAATTCATGTCTGTTAGAACGTATCCTTAATTTGATAATCTTTTCCTGTAGTGTTCCTACTTTCAGACCTTGCCAGATGCCCATGTTTAGTGCCTTACTCCTTGTTAATTTTTTAATAGCCTAACAAATCTTCATCTCCGCTTGTCGGAACCGGTTTCTCACAGCTGTGACTTCCGGCATGCAACATAATGTAGCCCACTAGACTGCTACCAGACTATACAGTGTCACATCTCAGAATATAGCACCCTTCATCTCTACATACTGTTAACATGGCAATCCATGTCTTGAAGTTCTTTTTTATGCATCAAGTGAAGTGATATGTTTTCAGTTTCTTCTGACATTTTCTGCTTCCGAATAATACAACAGATTACTGTCGTCTAGGATCCAATGCTGTTTAGTCCTGAAGGCTGGAACCTGCTGCCCTCTTCTTCAAGGAAAATTAAGCTAAATGGGGAAGAGCTGGTACAGACATAGTGAGGAGAACAACCAGGAACAGAGCCCTCAACAAATGAGCATGAGTGAGGAGAACATGATAAAGAATACTGGCCTTTATTCTTCTGTCCTGAATATGGAGGCAGAAGGTTTCTCCCAAACATAAGTAATACTTGGCTACTTTTCTGCTCTCAAGATGGAGACAGTGGATTCCTTTGATCTGGTAGCAATCTACCAGGTGGAGACGCAAGAAGACAGTAATCCTCATGGCCACTGCTAGTGAGAATCTCATATCATTAAGACTGATAAAACTTGCTGACTTTCTACATTTTCCGTGAACTTTCCATTTCATGATATTTTACTCCCCATATAAGAATACCCTGCACCTTATACCCAAACGATGTTCTATGTCCTCTCTAATAAATTGGATTATTCTAAGTGACTAATTGATCAATGTTTTCAGTGTCATTCAATGAAAATAAAACTGTGGCTCTATGCATGTCATTCATGAAAAAGAAGTAATGCTATCCCTGCAACAGGCCATAGGCTTCAGAGATGCTGAGGCTTCCACATTTTCTAGGTAGTCGACTCACAAATGGTGGTGAGGTTGAGTACCCTGGCCGCCCTTCATCCCCGGGAAGATTCCTGGTACTCATTTCTGTTAGAGACTGAGTCAACCCCAGGGCTATAGTGCAGATGGAATGACTAAGTCAACTGAAAAAATCCAATGACCTCACCGTGAATTTAATCTGTGACCTTTCAGCTTGTAGCTACACTACCGTGTGCCCCACAGGCTCAAATGTCTGCTATTTCAGTTGCTTCTTTACTTACAAGCCATAAACTTCCTGCTTCTCTGGGTCAAACTGGAGCCAGGAAGATGGAGATACAGACTTGCCTTCTTCTGTCTTGAATATCAGGTGCAGATTTCTTGTGTTGCCATCCTCCAGGTCAGAGAATGCATTTTCTGGTATTACAAAGCTGTACAAACAACGATACATAAGTACTGCAAGCACAAGACTCACGCAAAGCATCTGGCTTAACTCAGTTTATCACTACAGTGAAATCTACTTTTAAGGAATCTTCCAGAGCAGTGAATTTGAACACTATCTTATTTAAATGAAGGTAATTTAACACTGATATTGTACATTAAATGAAGGAAAGCCTTATATAGCAGAACACTAAATGGAGATCCTACTGTAAATGGTACTTTCATTCACTACTCAAAATACAACATGTATGTCATAACACAGAGAAGCCATATTTCATGTGAGATATGACAAGCAGCAACAATACTATACAATGGGGTACACTAAGCTGGTGAAGGTGGAACACTTTGGCTATCCTGCTCTTGTACATGATGCTAATACTGAGCCGGGCTGCGCCATAGCTCAAAGGGTTAGTCATTGGCTTCCCACAGCGGCGGAGCGGGTTCGATCCCGGGTCTGGTCAAGTGGGATTTGTGGTGGACAAAGTGGCGCTGGGGCAGGTTTTCTCCGAGTACTTCAGTTTCCCCTGCCAATCTTCATTCCACCAATTGCTCCACAGTCACCCTCACCTATCGTCTGGAGCTGCTACAATAGGCCAGAAATGGCTGCAGTACGAGGGACTTTTTTTTTATTGCTAGTGGGGTGGGACTAAGTCCCTTGTACGGCAGCCACTTCTGGCCTATTGTACCAGCCCCATATGATAGGTGAGGGTAATTGTGGAGCAATTGGTGGAATGAAGATTGGCAGGGGAAACCGAAGTACTCTGACAAAACCTGCCCCAGCACCACTTTGTCCACCACAAATCCCACTTGACTAGACCTGGGATCGAAACCGGGCTGCTGCGGTGGAAAGCCAGCGACTAACCATCTGAGCTATGATGCGGCATACAAGGGACTTAGTCCCATCCCACTAGGGGGGGGGGGACCAACTCCATTTTGTTCAGTGTGACAAAGCTTTCCCAGTTGTGAGACATTCCATTATTCTGAGGGCATTACTAATATGCACTACAGACTTTCAGACCCTAGCACAGCTTTACTGTAGTCAGGTTTCCTACTAGGATATTAGATACGAAAGTTTTAGAAGGGTCTGCATTCAAAATTTGTTAAAAGAACTGAAGTGGAAGAAATTAAATAGTTTTGCCATTTACAAAGAAAGGATACAACAAGAACACCAAAAAGGGTATTAGAATTAAAATCAAGAGACCTATGAGATGGTTCAGCCAGATAATGGAAGACATCAAGAAGTGAAATACCAAAGACTTTTCACCTATCAACCTGTATAAACATGAAAATGAAGTAGGATGTAGGAGAGAACAGCAAAAATGAAAATATTAAGTCAGAATATGAATATAAAGAAGACCCAAAAGATAAAGAAAAAAAAGAAGTAAAATGGTTTCTGTATTTAGATTGTGAAATAAACAAAAATGGCAAAAGGTTAACAGACCAAAATGCAACAGCTCAACACTAAAAATCCGTAATGTATATATATATAAATATTTCATATCAGCATTAATATTATGGTTATTAATCATTATTTTTAATTCAATAAGATGTAGGCCAGGCTCACTGTGAAACTCCTTCATCATAAGGACTCCTACTCACTGACAGGTTACTTCTAAGCTACACCCTACCTCTCCTGGCATTACGCACTCAAGAGCTGAGGCAAATCACTTTTCCTTCCATACCTGAACACTTTGCCTGCTACAGCAACCTGTTTGGCCAGCCGATGATCGATTGTTGGCTGGATGTTCTTCACACCATACACAACTTCTTCAGTTGTCCTTGTGGTCGATGATTGGTCTGTTGTAGACTTCTCTGTACTCGACTGCTCATCTGTTACCAAGAGAGGTGTGGATGAGGGTGAGGATTCTTCCGTCATGGGAGAGGTTTCTGTAGTGTCAGCAGTGCTACTGCCACTGGTACCAGAACTACTGCTGCTAGGACTAGAACTGCTTGACGAGGGCAGAGGCTCCGTCACCTGGAAATGGAATATAAACTACGGTGAATCTTGGATGTGAGGTTCTCACAGCAGTGACTGTCAACAGTCTTCTGGATTGTAATGCCCTGTAGTTCTGAGGAAGACCAACATTTTGAGAGGAAGATATATGATCTTCATGGTCAAAGAGTAAGCAAAGAAAGATATCAGCAGAAGCATGTGTTAAGCTTAGTTATTTCTGAAATGTATTTCATTACAACAGAAGACTGTACCCTTATAATTAATCTTCTTCATGTACGAGGTACTTACACATTAGTGAACTGGGTATCAAGTAAGTTATTTCATTATTTCAGTACAATGCATCTTAAGAAATACCAAGAGTTGTATGGGTGCTTTTTTTTAGTACAGTGAACCCCCATTTTATGTTCTTCAATTTAAGTTTCTGCCTCTGTAATCTTGAATTTGAATGATCACAAGTCAATAATCCCAGCGCTAAACTTTCTTTGGTTTTGTGTTCAAATCTACTGACCCCTAGCCACCACAAATGGGCGCTTTTGCTAATATACAAACAATTTGGTGTAACAATTCTTCATTGGGATCCATTGTAACACAACAACGAAACGGTCTAGGTCAACATCACTGTTTGTTGTGGTGTTATGACGGATCCCAATAAAGAATTGTATATAACAACATAACAACCCATAAAAAAAAAATCTGGTGTAATGCAACAAGAAATCCTATCATTCAGCCAAGAAATGTCTGATGTCGTCCATGTGTACCTGTGACGCAGGCATGTCTGTAGTGACAGAGGGCTCCACTTCTGACACAAACACAGGAGTAGCTGATGGCGTGATCTCTGCAAACTCATCATAAGCTCTGCTGGGCTCCACCAGCACCTCGCTGCTCATCAGATGGGTGGGACGAACAGGTACCTGCAACAGCAACACAGCCATGAGTGTGGATTGCGCAGTAAGAGCCTTAGATTCAGCATGGAACTTTATCATGCCATTCCCAGGAGCAGCCAAAACTTTTAAGATAAGTAGTTCATTTGCTCATTCCAAGCAGGCAGAGGCCAGAAAGGTCAGAGACCATTGGATGAATGAGAGGGGTGAGAAATAAGATTAGCATGGAGCGGTAGTTCATCCTTCGGTAGGACAATACTTCAAGTTTCTCTGTGACAAGGGAATAATGGGAACATAAGTAAGAACTCCAGAACCTATGAACAGTTATAAACATAAAGATTAGCATCTTCTGCAATGTGACGCCCTTGCAGTGTGGTAAATATAGTCCAGTGTTTGTGGAGAAGCCTGCTGGCTATATCTGCAGGGTAGAGGCATAAGCTGTGCATTAGAAACCGGTGAGTAATATACACGAGGGAAGGACATGGACTGGGGCTGAAGGCCAACCAATGGGAGCAACATAAAATGAAGATTTAATGGCCTTGAAAAGAGCTGAATTTATCAATGGAAGAGGCTAACAACAAATTAATGGGGACAGCAGAAACTTTGCAAACAGAACAGGAACACAGGTAAAAGATAGTCACTCCCACTTGTTTGTTCTTAACCCCAGTTCTCCTCTTCCTTTCTCTACACAACAGACACCTCTGTCTTGTACGGCTTCCTCTTCTAACCTCAATATTGAGGCAGCAGGTTCCCCTTACAAAATTGTACATTCTGCAAGGAAAGGCACAATGGAAGAGAAAATCTTGTTCCACTGCATCATGCCAAGACATGTTACTACAGTTGAAAGTTCATGTGTAACAGGACAAGAAAGAAGCCTGTGAGTGCATTATAGGATGATAAAACAGTCATGTGCTCTCAGCAGGGTGACCACTGGTGGCATGCTGGTTGTATCCAAATCATGGGCACCATGCAAATTTTTCCCCATAGGGGAAACCAAACATTTTGCTTACAAATTTACATTTCAAGTCACTTTTTTACTGCCTGTCTTAAAGTATTCAGGATAAGAAAATGATTATAAATATGTGTTTAATTTTTGGTACTAATATTTAGTGTATTTCTTTCTCTTTCCAATCCCCCCCCTCCCCCCCCCCCAAAAAAAAGAAAAAATTAAAGGGGTTGGGGGTGGGGGTGGGAAGACATATTCCTTGCTTCCACCTCACTACCAGCACCAATGATCCCACCATACGCTCACAAACATAGAAAAGTATATGCTTTATAACTTTACAAAGTAAGAGGCAAGCAAATGGTTCGGCCACAAATTCCCAGTAGTTTTCTTCAGAAGAATGTGACCTAAAGGTGTCAGTGATGTGTTCATATGCAACTTCTGATTCAATCATAATATGAAAACTGTATTTTGGGATCAATACTGGTATTAGCAATATGGTGAAATTCCTATTTAATCACGTTTCTTACATTAATTAAGGTTTATGCTAAACGCCAACCTTCAAGATTTTAGCCTGAAATAGTTTATCACCCTGTGAGACTCACTTTGTACATTCATTATGAAATAATTTTTCATGTTATAACATAAATATGAAATAAATATTGAAAGAAAAAACTGTTTCTAGACTACAAAATATCAAATTAATCTCTCAAATGGTTAACAATATATGAAATAAACTGTGATGGAACCTCAGTCAAAAATCAAACCAAGTACGATCCCACAAGCAGCACAGCCAAGATGCATGTTTAATGTGCATGGCCGTGCAGTAACAATATCTGCTACTGAGGAAACTTAATATCAGTTATTTTGACTGCAATGACACAAAACTGAGGTACAAACATCATGGGTTATTTACTAAATCTAAGTTAATTAAATGCAGGAAAACTGTATATTGTTCATATTGGGCTTTGCCTGAAACCAGGAAAGTGTTCCTTAAATATAGGATTTCCCAGGAACATCGAATTGGGATTTCACTGCATAAAAACTTATAAGACTTCAGATGTAAACTTATTTCCAGTGGCATGTGCGCTAAATGATTATTCCTTTCCCCCTTATTGGTTCTATACAACTAAAATTAAATACAGAATGCATTTATAATAATAACCTTAACCATACATAGCAACCTTTCTGATCTGTTTGCTTAGAATCCATTATGTAGGAAGGCATTCAAATGTTGTCAAAAGATGCCGCATTGACATGTGACATGTAACATCCCAACAGTGCTCTTTCTGGTTCTACTTATGTCCATCTGATGTATAAATTTTTTGGGGAGGGGACTGCAAAATTTAGAGCCAAATTTGGTGTTTCTGCATGGCCTTGCACTCTGTAATCTTCATACAATGATCACAAAATCACTCACTAGCACAGGAGTAGGTAAGATAGTCCCATAGACAACTGGACTGGTTGGCAACCCGTACCCCACATTTGACACAACTTCTGGCATAATGCTTATGCTCGGACCAGGCTCCACCTCACCATGGTGATGTCTGTGGGGATGAGAGGCTGTTGGCTCGGGGAACACAGGAGAGGGCATTGTTGGAACAATGTGAACACTTGGTACAGCTTCAGTCTCGCTCTCTGCAGCTTCATCCTCGTCTGCTTCTGCTTCATCCACATCTTCATCATAATCTCCAGAGCCAACCTGCAACATTGGCCATTATCAGTAATACCATTAATGTCTCAATCATTCGAGGTATGAAGTTTATCTATGTAACAATTAAAAAGTCAATTCCTACTTCACAGAAAATAAAATTCATCTCCATTAGAAAGAACTGCTGGTTAATACTGTGTAAGGAAACAATCACAGTGTTTACTGAGAGAATCATACAAAAACAAACAGATACACTGAGTGGGAAATATTTTAAGCTTCTAAAAGTAGATGTTGCATGCAATAATCACTGTGCTCTAAAGAGCCAACTGTCCTGTATATTATTTCTTTCCTTATTTAACAGTGCTGTTCCAAAGTCATGGTAAAATATGTGAGATATAAGAAGACTGTGGTTTTCTGAGATACAGCATCACATAATCTTACATGTGGTTATTAATATTTCAGAAGAACTTGTCGCCACCTTCTGGACAGGTGGAGGCTACAGGATCCTCAAAGAGACACAATCATCTACAAAAATTACAAAGTGCCACACTCCTAAACGATTATCAGTCTTTATAGTATGACAGCCGAATAAATGAGGAACTTCAATTATTTAGGCTGAGAGAGACAGTGACGACAGAACTGAACAGATATGTACAGTCTTACGGATCTATAAGACATGCATTATTAAAGAAATATCAAAATGAAATTTTAATAAAATTGTACATAATAATAGTGTTCTATTCTATGTTCTTATGTGAATATAAATTTTGGGTTTCTGAAAAAAATGACAAATGTATTTCTTCACAGCAGCCAAGAGATGCAGGATATAGAATAACAGATGGACATAAATATTTCTCAATTTATTCACTCTTTACTTTGATGATGGATGCAATTTTCATTTGTTACTGCTGCTGCCTGCTTCTTGGGTCCCTTAATGACACTTTCTGTTGCACAGGGCACAGTGCCGAATGAGATGGGAACATGATCATTAACATTGAAGAAGTACAGACCTGGAACGAGGCCCATCTGAAGGTTAACCGTCTCCAGTACTGCTTCTATCTGGGTTATAAATTGTGGTACTTTAAAACTACACAAAGTCACGATCGTATCATAACAGAACTGTATACAGCTTCTAGTGTAGTGTTCAAAATTTGTGGGGAAAAATATGTGGGGGGGGGGGCTGAAACCCACCTCTCTGAAAATGGACTTACATCACTTTTTGCCCAACTGATCTTGTGAGAAGCATTATCAGGGGAAACATTTTAATCTCTCCCCCCCCCCAAATAATGTGTTTAGTGACTGATACCTCTCTGCGCTCCCTGTGGGCAGAGGAAGCTTCAGTCTTGACGTGCCAGCCTACAACAGGCTGTTGCAACACCTCTGACAAGGTACCATCACGGGCCTGTTGCTTTAGCTGCTGTACCAGCTGCATATGCTGCTTCCAGAGATGCCCATCACAGCCAACCTGCAACATGTATGAGAACATGTATTGAGATCCTGGAACAAAACACCTATATGAGATCTGATGGTTTAGAAAAGAATTCACAGTGCCTAGGCTGAGCTCATTCACTGCACTGCTACTGGGTATGAGAACCTCTGTGATTCAAATACTGCAAAAAAGGAACCACACGCTGTGTTTGTGTCTGCAGCAATGGCGTAAATGGATGGCCATCACCGCCACTTTCAGAAATTCTTGTCCCACACATTTGTAAACATCCAGCTGGGTAGCCAAAAGGGGGGGTCCCTATACAGAACCACAACATAACTACACTGAGCCCACAGAACTAAGCCCCATATGTAAGGTACACGACAGAGTTCAAAACTCCGCACTCTTTACTTCCCTTCAGTGCCTCTGGTCTATGGCAGCCGACCCAAAGCACTTGTCACCAGCAGCGGTTATCATATCATTATTCATGTGGACAGAATGGCTACAAAACTGGAAACGAATACAGGCAAGTATGCAGCACTGGAAACATAACGGCTGATGTATGGGGCATGGCCCCAGCACAGTGACATCAGAGGGGCTAGCAGCAGCTCAAACTTAACAGACATAGCGGACAACATTTAAATCATCTGGAGAAGCCACAATGAATTTCCAAGTAGCTCCAGAAGTCCTACAGTTCATCTGCAATGCGTGTAGCTGAAAGTCTAGTTACTGTATACACAATCATAAACAGAAATAGAATTTATTACATCATACATGCCAGTAATGTCATTTATAAATATATACTCGTACAGCTTTATCTAAGTAAGTATATCAAGTACAGGTGTGTAGCAAGAGATGCAAGTTGGCATACCTGCCACTGGATGGAGGTAGAATGTCTGTTTGTCCTCTTCTTCACGTTGCCTGGACCTGCCAGCACAACTGTATCTGCCAACAGATCTTCCTGGCCATTCAGAGGCTGCAACTGGAACAAATCCTGCAAGAAGAAAATAAAACCATTCTTGTAAACCTACGATTTAGCTGAAGTGTGTGCTTACCAGACTCTAAAATCTTATATATTTAAGACATTCTACGCTGTTCTCCTTCTCCTCACATTTGAACATAACAATATTTCCTATTTCCACGATGTCCATTCTATTTTCAGCTAAACAGAAAACGATTATAAGCCAAATGTCGTAACATCCAAGTGACAGTTTTTAGAGTAATAAGGTTGTCAACATGCCAGCAATATGCATAACCTCAAATCTAACACAGCTTGTACTGTGTTTCTTTCCTGAACTACATACATGTTGGAGCGACAGGAACCCAGAAAGATTCTTTATGGCCACTACTCGTTGTTTTGGTTTCAGCTGCTCAAAATTGGCATCCATTACTATAATGAGCATTGTAGGATCTTCTCCAGTACTGCACCTAACCTGAAACAGTTGAAAACATTGCAAATGGACTGTACTTAGCTTAAATGACAATTCAAAACAAGTACATCATGCCAACTATATTATCAAAGAAAATTAATACCAACACAATTACAAGCAACTGATTCAAAGTTTCTCACCAATCAATGGGCCTTCATAATTCCAGTCAACTGATTAAGAACAATTATCCATCAGCAAATTTCATAATCTGGTGAGTTTTATTTCCCCTTCTTTCATTTTTGTGCTTCAGTTCAGTTACACTTTCAGCTCTTGGCTTTTAGAACAAGGACTCTTGTTTCATAGAGTGAATGATGAGTGACTGCATTAATTTGTCAGCTAGCCAGTCAAATTTTAACCTTACTCTTTCATTTAAGAGTAAATAACTCTCTTAATGATCGTCTTTTGGAAGTTTTGCCTACTTAGCATTCACATATAGTATATAATATTTCAATACTAAAGCTACCATTCTTTTGAACCATAAAATCACTCAAAACAATGCTTAAAAATCCTGTTCCTATCTAACAAAGAACACTGTAGCTCCATTACAAAGATCAATCAGTTAATGTTGTTTAGAGAAATAATCACTGTTTATTATGAGACTCATAAAAAAAACATGTAGTTTCTTTAATACTAATTTTCATGCAAGTTTAACATGACAGTATAGTTACATTATTATGACAGAACATAATGCTTATCTCACCAGGTGATGATGATAGTTCAAAAATGGAAACCGAAGGATTTTGTGAGGTATTATATTACAAGAATTCTGGGCATGGAACGAGACACATGTTCATGTGTGGCCAAGAGGTTTCCCTCATACCTTGTGATGTTGCCCCACAAGGGGCACAGCCCCCTTGGAGCCCTCAGTCCTTGAATTCTCTGTGACATCTATAGAGAAGACATCCTTAGCCCAGTTATGAGACTGCTGTCCAAGGGCTCGAACTGTCACGTAGTGTTCACCCAGATCTTGTGCACTGGGTACACCTTCAAACAGGCCTGTTGCTTTATCAAATACAATCCATGATGGGAGCGGAGTGCCTCCAGGACCTCTAGCCTGTAAACAGTAACGCTTTGATAACACCTCTCTGGCAGCATGACCTAAGGGTTCAATACCACAGACACTCATCTGACCTTGCCCTGAGTGACTTCCAACTCTCACAGCAGTTCCCTAATATTCGCCTTACTGTCTGCCCTCCATTTCCTTCTCGTGAGTCGGTATAGCAACTGCCTACAGGCTGGGCGACTGAGGGGTCAAAGTTCGAGTCCTGGCAGGCTCAGAATTTTCTCTTCTCCATATCCTCCACATTGGTTACTGGTAGCTCTTTCCCCAGGGGTAAAGTGGCAGGCGCATGAAGCTGACCACTCACCTCAGGCTAGTGCCAAGGTCAAGAAAATGTGGATCTATACATCCACTCCCCCATACACCTTCAGGGTGCAGTGCTTAGTTAGTTAAGCACAGGGACAACTTTACCTTTTACCTTTACCTTCCATCTCCTTCTCAGTCTTACAAGTAACCACATGCCTAATGTTGCTCCCCCCAAAATTCTGTATGTATTTGCTCCTTCTAAATTATAACATGTCCAGCTGTACCAAAACTCTATTGTTTAAGCACCATAACAATACTGACATATGTATAAACCTGTTATTTCACTGTGGTGATGATAGTACAAGCATAAATTATACTACATTAAATTAGAATCACCACACATCATCATAAATATGTTTTTGTTGTCTTGTGTTTTGTCAACACAACCACAGCATCACTTACAGTAAAAACACAAGCTTCCCTTTTTACAATTAGGCACATTTTAGTAACGTGTTAATCATTACTGAAGGTTCTTAAGAACTGAAAGATTGCAGCTGTTTGTTATGTTCTATTGCTAAAGAACAATACTGTTCATTAGCAGAAATATGATTATAGTGCAGCAATAATGAGGCACTTGTGTAACTGAATTTTGTGTGACTGGATTAATTATTTTCAAGATGGGATAGTGCATTCGGTATAGTGACTGGCTATGGACTGGACAGCCAAGGGGTTGGAGTTTGAGTCCTGATAGGGGTAGGATTATTCTCCTCTCCATATCCTTCAGATTGGTACTGGGGCCCGCNACCCACCCTCATACCAAATGTGTACCTGGGGCACTGTCCCTTGTCGTTAAAGTGGCTGGGGCATGAAGCTGACCATTCATGTCCAATTAGTGCTGATGTCAAAATGTGGATATATACACCCACTCCATATGTCTTCATAGCATTGTGCTTAATTAGTTAAGTACAGGGACTTTACCCTTTACTTCATATCCTACCCAACAAACCAACAAGGACATTTGGTTGAAAAACGATGTGTGAAATAGTCCCTATTATGCTTGTCCAGCCGCCAACTTACCTCGCAGTCTAACTGAATACTAACAGAGCTCACCTCATAATGATCCACGTCTCCTGAGAAGGCATCCCTTGGGATGTTCATGTGGAAGAGTCTGCCAAGAGGTGCTACAGTGTCAGGGATGCCCCAGAGCCTCTGGACTGGTGATGATGCTGGAAGGGGGTGTGGATGGGCAATGGGCCCATTAAGAACCTCTTGTTCCTCTGCTGCAGTCATCTCAAATGCAAAGTCTTCCTCCGAGTGCAGGGCTGTCACTGCCAGGGCCAGGGCCAACCCCAGAGTGGCACAACAGTGCCAGAACCTGCTCGCAGCCATGTCACTCACTCTTCCTGCACAACACGTCACTCCATGGCTGCATACACCTGAAACAATGTGCAAATTGGTTTGAACTGGTTTCATGAAGTTTCTGACATGTCCAACACCCCTATCTGACATTGCTAGTGCGTGCTCTTCTCATAAATGGTTAAAGTGTTCAGGTCTGAAGTGGGGTGGTTCTGTTACCTTAAAGGCATGGTTCTGAGGAAGAAGAGGGCCCCAAAACATGGAGGACCTATCCCACATTTGCAGCATCTGGTGGAGGAATCAGAGGGTCCAGCACTGCTAATATAACAGCTCAACAAGTGTGACTGAGTATAAAACAAACTCCGTGGTTCTAGTCCGCAACCGTTGCTTGTCAGTGAAGTTAGTGCCAACTTCAGCGGAGAGAGGGTATTGCGTGGTCAGCGCAACGAATCCCCCCGGCAGTTAATTTCGGTTTTCTAGACCAGAGCCGCTATTTCAAGGAAACTGCTCCTCAATTATCCTCACGAGGCTGAGTGGACCCCGTTCCAGGCCCACTACTTCTCACAAAATTTGGTAGCACCAGGAATCGAACCTGGATATCTGGATCTGTAGCCAAGAACTCTGACCACTAGACTGCAGAGGTACTGAAAATTTAATTACAGATCATTCATCTCACAAATCTGCGAGAGACTACAATGGCCACAAACGTTATTCTGATCTTTTCTATTCACATTGTACTGACTTCCTTACTCTACAACCAGCCAAGTGCCACATCAGAGATGAAGCCCCAAACTGCCTGGTCAGGGCTACTGCAATATATCAGTGGGTGGTGACAGGCAAGTATGAAGCAATGGTTACCAGAGGAGAACTTCAGAAACTCTATAAAATAATAAAAACCTGCTGCTGCACTGCCACATTGTTGACTATGATTCTCGCATGAAGTCCTCCAGGACTGAACCTTTGGCCCCATGCTCAGATGCCAGTTCCTAAATGGCACAGCCCTTACAATGCCATATTTCTGAGAACTGTGATGATAAGCACTACAACTTCCAGCAGTTCTTTTCAAAATGTCTAACTGCATATATGACCCCGTTTCACAGGCCACATATTGGTATTTGTCAGGCCCGAGTACAGTGACTGAACAAGATCACTGAAAACCTCAGTCAAACCTGTCTGTGGCCAGAAGTGGAATTAGGTACCCCCTTAACACAAGTAAATTGTGCTAATACTGTCATCATTCACATAACAAAGCAGCCGCGGTGGGGGGAATGTATTACAAAATTTGTGCTCGCCAAATACATCAGATAGAGGCACTGTATTCAATACAATCCAGCTTGAAGGTCGGGGTTTGGATCCTACTTATCTCGCAGATACTGCAGTGTCACTTGATGGTAACTGCCACACAGAATTACTGGGGTTTTGGACTTTTTCCTTCGTCCGGAATTTTAGGTAATTGAGGACACGACGTTTCGGAAACTGGATCTGTTTCCGTCTACATGTTAGAACGGAAGACACCTATTCAGATGGGCCCCCCGTCTTCCTTTCTCACCTGAAGACGGAAACAAATCCGGTTTTCGAAACGTCGTGTCCTCTATTACCTAAAATTCCGGACGATGGAAAAAGTCCAAAACCCCAGTAATTCTGTGTCATCCACCATCGTCAGAACTCTTTAGAATCTACTTGATGGTAACTGTTAACCCCAAATTCGCACGAATGGGCATGCTGACATCACAATTGGGCCTACTATCAAACTGGCAGCAGATGTTCCCGCGATTACTTCCATTTCTACACGCGGTGGTGCTACTGAAAGAGTTCTTTGAAACAAATGCCTAACGGCCGTGAAACCGTGCGAAATCCGGGATTCTCACGAATATTACTGGCTTCTCGGATGTGACGCCATGTAGTCTGGTTTCCAAGGAACCCACTGCGTCTATCATCGGGGCAGAAGAGTAAACCAAGAACGGAAGAAACTGGTTCAAACCTGGGCGCCAGTCCCGTCGTCCATCTTGCTATGGCCGTGCCTTTTTTCTTTTTTTCCAACTGTGATTTGCTTTTCTGCCCTGAAAACAGAAGCAGCTGATTCCTCCGATATATCTCTAAGCATTTACCAGGCTACACAGCACCACGTCTCAGGAGACAGTAATCTTCGATGTTGAATATGTCCCATCTGCCTATCCGTTTCGTCTCCAAAACTACTCCAGGAATTTCGACTGAATGTAGCGTACACCTTTCCCTGAAACCGCAGTATATTATAACGTAAGCTGCGGCCATACTGCAGGCCAAGACTTTTGCATGGCCTACTCCGACTACTAAGTTGCAGTTTCTCTTTCGCTGGAACTCCAGGAAAAAATGGACGCCCCTTTCCTCAACAACACGCTTCAGCCGGTGCTGATGGGTGGTCTCAGAAGCGACGTCGTGTAGTTTGATACTGTTTATCGACGTTTTCAAGGAGCCTGCTGTCTCAATCCGTCTTAAAATGGAAGCATCAGCTACCTCAGAAACGCCGATAACCATCTACCTGACAATAGCGTCTCCCCTACCATGAAATAGAGTAGGTTCCTCAGAAATGATGGTGGCCATACAACACGGCGTCACATCTCAGAACACTTCAGTCTTAATGAAGCAATATAATTCTGTGGCCAACTTCTGTGTCTAGTCCAAAACAGTACAAAGTTTCGACTACGTTAAATACGCCAGACGTAACCTCGAAGTTTCATACAGTCGCCGTGTTTGAAATTATTAAGAACAGGATCTAGAAGTTTTTGACGAGGGTACATTAGTGCAAATATTATTCTGGACATTATCGTCCTGCTTTTATTTAAAACACACACTGTTTCGGGGACTGGATTCTGTCTCCGTCTTCAGGTAAAACCTTCTAAGTTGAGCTCAATCGATAGTGTTCGTCCTTATCTCCGATGGCAGAATCCAGTCTCCGAAACGTTGTTTTGAAAAATACACAGGAATGTGTTTTTAGATAAAGACAGGACGATGGATAATGCCCAAAAACATATTTGTATTACAAACAGGTCTAGAGGATTTCTCAGTAAGACTTTGAAGTGCGTTTATGATCCGTTTCAATTATACAAACCCTGGTTACAGCAATGCATCCAGTTTATTGCCACCAAACGAAAAGCGAAGTACAGGATTTGCGCAGTCTCAGTGTTGGCATTTCTTTCATTTGCAATGTACTTAACGACTCTGGCAGTAGTTCAGACTTTACAGAGTCGATCTATTTCGTTTTACATTCTGCCCGTACAAATTACCACTTCAATATTTTTTTTTCTTGGCACTACAGCCCCAGTGGGCCTAGGCCTACCTCCATGAACTCCGTTCACTTCGGTTTTTCTAGATCTTACACATTCGGTAGGACTCCTTGGACGGGTGATCAGCTCGTCGCAAGGCCTCTACCTGTACAGAAACACAGAAAAACGTACACAAACATCCATGCCCTGAGTGGGATTCGAACCCACGATCCCGGCTTCCGAGCGAGCGAAGACAGTGCATGCCTTAAGACCGCTCGGCTACCGTGACCGGCTATCACTTCAATAATAGTTGCACTTATTTCGAATATTTACTACCACACAACATTTAAAGATCTCGTGAGACACACTGTATAAATATGTTTCCTGCCAGAGACTGCTCATTTCACAGAGAAGAAAGCCTTTCTTTGTGATTCCACTTTATCGCCGGCTGTAACTCGCTCAGCTTATGCGCACAGTGCGACGGAGAGACGGAGGCCACGTGTGGAAACAGAACAGCTTCTGCGGCCGGAAACGCCGAAACATCAAGGGTCAGGCGTGCAAGCCGGGCAATTTTTAAGGACTAATTCTGGTTCTTCCTATGTCTGGCCGGCTTCCTGGACTGGAACTCGGGACTAATCGGACCGGCGAATTTCCACCAGACTGCACGCTGTTACACCTCAGATTCTTCGCTTGATAACGAGGATGTTTAATTTCGGATGTCAAAAAGAGCTTACTATGCTATAAGCCGAACACTCGCTGATTCGATTCCAGATGAGGTCACTGGATTTTTCGATTAACCAAATCCTTCCAGCCGCACTGTGGCCCTGGAGTCGACTCAGCCTCTTAACAAATGAGTACCAGGAATCTTCCTGGAGGTAAAGCGCGGCCGGCGTGGAAGGCAGACAATCTCACCGCCATTTATGAGCCGATTTGGGAGCCTCGATGGCTCACAACCCTATGGCCCTCCACGGCCTGTTACAGGGATAACTTTACCTTTCTTCAGCTTTAAGTCGAAAGAGATGGTAAGATAATCGTCAATGGTGAATGGATAAGGGTTTGGAAGGAGACGTTTGTGACCCATTTGTGGATATTATCCTGTAGGCTGAGGAAAACTGTGAATAATCTAGGGTAGAATAGTTGGCAATCAAACAGAGAGTCGAACTGGATCAGCTGCGAATACAGTTAAGTCAGTAACATAACATCCGTCGGTCACGGGGTCAATCCTCCAGCCGCCTGTCAGTGGCTATCAGGGCTTCTACCCCGGGGGTGAAGCGGTCAGGGCGTGAAGATGACCACTCGCCTCCATCTAGTACCAATGTTAAGAATTTGTGACGCCATACCTCCACTCCCCTATACGTATTGACGGCGCGACGTGTAATCAAACACCGGGACGTCTAAACAACTTTAACTTTAACTTTAAGCTCGCTAGGTATCAAAAGTGGAGCTCTACTTCCACGTTCCCTACACACCTTCAAGTTGACGTGCTTCGAAACGCGCAGAAGTTCACACTTTGGCTTCCCCCGACCCTTACAAATTCCACTGCTTTTCACTGCAATCCTGAAATCCAAAGGGGCAGAAAAAATTACTCCGCGCTGCTTTTCGAATAGCTGAGTTCTGCGTTCACATCCACTCAGGTTAAATTAAATGTCGCAGCTGAAGGGGGGGAGTTCCAACACTCTCCCACCCAGTCCGGCGGAGTGACATTTCAGATTCATTAATTTAATGTGCCCTTACACAAATTACGGCCCTGCATGCAGAGACGTAATGTGGTTAGAGACCAACGGTGGACGGCAAAGTGGCTCAGCTCCTAATGTCACAAGGCAGCAAAGTACGCAAGCGCTGAACCAGTTGTCAAGGGCACATCGCAAGCCTGCGAAGAAAGAAGACACGCTATATTTCTGACAAACTAACAGACATAATACGCAAACTGCTCTTCAGTGTCAACTCACTACAGATGCACTCTTATGAGAGCTTTTCCTATGAGGCAGTGAATGGCAACTCGTTACCATAAGGCAAAGTTACTTCCCTGTTAACAGGCCATGGAGGCCCATAGGGTTGTGAGACGTCGAGGCTCCCCCATTTTCTCTGGACAATCGGCTCACAGATGGCGGTGAGGTAGTCAGCCTTACGTACCGGCCGCCCTTTAGCCCCAGGAAGATTCCTGGTACTCATTTCTGTTAGAGGCTGAGTCGACTTCGCGGCCACAGTGAGACTATATGACCTTAATGTCTATTTTGGTCACGAAAACCTCACGGCGGTAACTCTGAAGGGTAGTCTTCAGGGTTGCAAAGGCATGTAGTTTCGGAGGAACATAGCGCCTCCATCTTCTGGACAGAAGAGCAAGTCACGTGAGAGTCCAGCAGAAGCGGGCGTTTCCTTGCTCGGCTTATTCTGAGATGTTAATGGGAGCATTTCAACTTATCTGACAGTCAGTCAGTCGCTGGGATCCCTACAGCGGCGACACCGGTTCTGTCCCAGGTCAGGTCATATTGGATTTGTAACGAGCAAAGGAGAACTGATGCCGGTTTCCTTCTTGTTCTTCGTTTCCCCTGTCAGTTCTCATTTCATAAATTGCCGACAACCTCACCACTATCACTGAACCGATTGTCTAGAAAATGTGGGAGCCTCGACGTCTCACTACCCTATGGGCCTCTACGGCCTGTTACAGGGGTAGCATCACATGTGTCTTTATCATCCGAAGCTATACAATCTCGATACTGACGTCATCGTTAAACAGCCGAATTAAATGATCTCACTTTATGGCAAGTCTCCGAGACGTTACAACCTATCGGTTTTGGGAAGTGGTAACATGCCTGAACAAAGGAGACATGACTCAATGCATCTGGCTGAAGAGAGGTCTGGGAAGGGAGAGCCTACATGTGACGAGCCTCGGGGCCAGCCCCTTCTGCACGGAAAGGGGAAGCTGTCTCGCACCCAGCTGTTCAGACAGTTGTCTGATCATACAAACAAACCGAACCCAGCAGGCAGCTACAGGGCTATGGACACTGTCGCTTGCGGATAGTAAGCGAACAAATTTTCGTGTCATGCGGGTTTCCGATTAACACCACCTCCTTTAATATTTAAAAGGGGGGGGGACAGGGTATTCTTGTGTTTGATATGACACACAAATAAACAGCATTAACCGGTTGTCTGTGTAACGAAGGCACAGCGTGTCACCTGCGAGGAACCGAATTCTTAAAACACAAATTAGAAGGGGTTACTTTTAGGTACAGCTACTTCCACACAACAATTAACACAACGCACACGGCATCAACTTATGGCACACAACACGAGTAAGAATATTGTGCTGGAGACTGGTCATGGCCTGGGGTATATCTGAAACACAGAACGGTTCGGAACTCACTCGCAATCGCGAGGTTAAGGGTTCGGATCTCGGTATGGGCATCGGCTAGCCTGACAGGGTTTCCGTGATTTTTGTCAGCCCCTTCAGGATAATGCCCAGATACTTCCCCGATTAGGTCACGATCATCCATAGCAACGCTATGCTGTCTAGCTGCCAACCGCCGTCATAACCTCAACTCTCATACAGGGTAACTCGACTTACTTGTATTCCGGTGGTCACTGGTTCTAGTCTTGTCAGAAACACCCCGCATGTCCCGTTTACGTATTTTCCTCAGTCACTTCAACTGACTGTCAAGACCGCTTCTGTTGAACCATTTGCTTGTTACTGGGGTCGGTCTCCTGGCGCACTGCCGCAGTATTTGCGCTGTTCCGACTTCTAATGCTTCATTACGGTTCTATGTAATTAGTGCTGTGTGGTTAGGATTATACAAATTGAATCCAACGCGCCCTAATTGCATTGGGAATATTAACTGGTAAATCAGGTGGTGGCAGAACGGTAAGCTGTCAAAAGGCAGAGCTCTCACTAATCACGTGTCTCCTTGTTGAGTTGGGCGAGTGTCTGCCTGTCTGTACCAAGGGAATCAGTCAGTCGCTTAGCTACCGTAGCACGGCAGGATAACTGACAAACATTTCAAACGCAGAAATTACATTCCAGCTGACTAAACGGTAACACTGGCTGTGCTCAAGTTATGGGTTTGAATATTTCTATGTCTCGTAATAATTACAAAGAGGATTAATAACGTAACAGGGAGGCGGGGTAGCTCAGTTGATATAGTGACCAGGCTACGGGCTGGACGACGGAGGAACCGTGGCCCACCCAACTTCCCATCCAATGGTACTAGATGTTCCTTCCCCATGTACAAAGCGGTCGGGGCGTGAAGATGACCATCTCCATCTGGCTTCGAGGTTAAGAATGCATGAAACTACGCCGCCACCCCCCACCCCCAATTAGGGTATACCGAATACACATATACCATTATGAAACCTGGAAAAAATTATTTTTACCACAGAACATTAACGGTAATGTTGCCCTGTTAACTTAATTATTCGCCACGCCATGAAGACGCATGGAAGAGTGGTGGGTACAAGTTCATTGTTTCGTAGCCTTCGGCCCTAGGTGGCAAGTGAGTGACAAGCTTCACACCCCGTCTATCTTACCCCTCCCCCCATGGTGAGAGACCCCTGTATCACTAGATAGGAGACTGGCTGGGCCCCAAAACAGATCTGGACATTGCAGAGAGGGGAAGACTCTCTTTCGGCCGCCAGGAATCTTGTCTCGACTCTCCCATTATCCAGCATACGGTTTAGACACTACACTAACTGAGCTGCAAAACATTTTTTTTAATAAAAGTCAAATACTTTACCAGACCTGTATTTAATGTGTTCTGCCAGTGTACTACATGATTAACATGTTTGTAGAATATGTACAAAGACTGTTTCAGCTCTACGTACATTAGAACGATAGAGACTGGACTTCTTTTATTGCTAGTGGGGTGGGACTAAGTCCCTTGTACTGCGGTCACTTCTGGCCTATAGTACCGGGCCCAGATGATAGATGAGGGTGATTGTGGAGCAACTGGTGGAATGAAGATTGGCAGGGGAAACCGAAGTACTCGGAGAAAACCTGCCCCAGCGCCACTTTGCCCACCACAAATCCCACTTGACCAGACGCGGGATGGAACCCGGGCCGCCGCGGTGGGAAGACTAACCGCTTGAGCTATGACGCGGCCCTACACTGGACTTAGATTTGACGAACCTTCAGTACGGACTCCGAATACCAAAATCGGTCAATATCGACAAATAATTTCGGCGATGAAACATTCTAACGGGTGAACTGATAAATAAGAAATCCCCTTCAAATATACAAAAAAAAAGTACTTACCAGTTCTTTAATTATATACGAATGGAAACCAAGAAGATTCTACCTTCTGAGATGACACCGTGTAATCTGGTAGGCGTTTATAGATATTACAGAGGAAAGTACTGCCTCCATCTTCAGGACAGTAGAGTAAGAGGAGCAAGCAGATAAGAAGAACTGCTGCTTGTCTGACTTATTCTTGGGCCCTGAAAATAGTGTCAGTACAGAAACATGGGTACATTTCTACAAGACTAAACAGCGTCAGATCNCTGCTTTCTTCATAGTCACCGCCGTGAAAGCCTCAAATCTTACATTGTTGTGGCCTGTTAACAAGATCCCAGCTGCCACCCAGCCATCAACCGCACACACAACTTGTTCGTCTCCTGCCCTCACTTTTTGTGCGCCCGCAACGAAACACTCCCCGTAAGAAGTCGTGTCTATTACATCACTACAAGCAAACGACTCCAGTCCCCAGGCAGCAAAACCTGTGGCAGCGCTAGAGAAGTTCTCTCCAACCCTCTTCGGTCCAAATATTCTCTTCAGCACCCTGTTCTCAATGTTCGAGACCCATGTCTCGCACTCATACAAAATGACTGGAAATGTTATAGCTCCACATACTGCATCTTCACGTTCTCAGCGAAAACTGGTTCCGAAATGAACGATAAAAATCACTGCCCTTCATGGAATTTGAATCTTACTCGTACTTAGCGTAAGAGTTCTCGTAATAAATACTGCTCAGACAGAATCACCGTATCACGAACGCAGAGAACACATCTTACTCAAATCATCACACAGAATAACACGAGGTTCCTCTGTGTACGTCTAAAGCATGAAGTGCCAGAACACGAAGGCGGAGGTCAGAGCTCCAGCAGGACAGAATTCAAAGTTCATCCGAAAAGTCTGCCACGTCGATGAGGCATACATACATTACCACAAACAAGATGGCTGGAAACAAAAGACGGAAGTAGTTCCACCCCCCCCCCCATGTACCAGAGTAATAATCCATGGATCAATGCCCACACTGCTTGGGATGGCGGCGTTGTATTCTGGTCAGACCTGAGGATGCGACAGAAATAAACAAGTGATGGAGGAAGGGGTAGAGAAAGGAATGTCCGAAGGTAAATCTGATTCCATAAACATTTTTCCAACTGATTTTATCATGAAGGACTAACCCAGGAGCCCCTGAGTCTAGGCGCCATGGGGCGCAAAGGTAAAGCTGCACGCTACAATTTCGACACTAAATTGAGATGAGTTTTCAGTTTCATACGCCAGCCGCTTGTCTCGGATTAACCCGATGAAGCACAAAGTTCCCCTAGAAAACATGGAAAATTCAGTTTCTACCTCACAGAAAACAAAACGCCTCTTCATTAAAAAGGCCATTAGTCCAATGCTTTTTAGGAAAATAATTTAATTTTATTCTGATAGTTGAAAGAAAATCTATAGCCTATATCAGTCAGATTAGGATATTCTGCCGCAAGGCCAGCGCAATGAATAGTCCCTAAATTGGGAGAGAACAGCACTGGTTCATGCCCAGTGCCATGGATTCATTTTGTATTCCGGTTCCATGGTTATACTAATTCAGTTCCAAATGGTGGACAATTGTTTCAGAGGAAGGGCGGGTTTATTAAACCGACAAGCTTTTAAACAAG